TTCTACACATCTAACAAAAGGGTTTTTAATGACCGTGTTGAACCAGAAAGACGGCTTCTTGTGCTTCTACACATCTAACAACAGGGTTTTGTTGACTGTGTTGAACCAGAAAGACGGCTTCTTGTGCTTCTACACATCTAACAAAAGGGTTTTGTTAACTGTGTTGAACCAGAAAGACCGCTTCTTGTGCTTCTACACATCTAACAAAAGGGTTTTTAATGACCTTGTTGAACCAGAAAGACGGCTTCTTGTGCTTCTACTTGTCTAACAAAAGGGTTTTGTTGACCGTGTTGCAATGAACGGTTTATATTTTCTGTTGTTGCTGAGTATGAAACTAAAAGATGAAATAGTATATTTATCTGAAAATATAAAATGCTATTTATGTATTTGATGATGAAATACTGTATTTATCGTGAAGAAATACAACTGATACCTCATTCGAGTGAAATAACACTCTGTGTTGGAACTACGTACGTTCAGTCTACCTAAATCAAACACTCAGAAAAACACTCAAGAAATATCTTCTTTGAGAGACATTTAGAAGTTGCAGTACTAAATAAGGATAAGATATATGGATGAACAACCTCTGTATTACAATTCGGTGTAGGTTCTAACACCGTTATCAAGCAAGTGATGAACAGAGTATGGTTGACAAGTATACATACAGATAGGAGGCAGTGTTTATACAGTAGGGGGCGGTCGGGTAGCCTAGTGGTTAAAGCGTTCGCTCGTCACGCCGAGAACCCGGGTTCGATTCCCGACATGGGTACAATGTGCCCATTACTGGTATCCCCCGCCGTGATATTGCTGGACTGTTGATAAAAGCGGCGTAAAACCATACTCACTCACTCATTATACAGTGGATTAGATATCAGATGCAGTTACACTGGGTAAACATATTGACCGGTGAAGCAAGTAATGTAAGCAAAAGGATTATGACTGATTGGAGTCTTTGATGAGTTGATGGTACGCATGGGGTATGTAATAGCCTTGATCTCTGTACATCACTTGCTTGGTAACGTCGCTCCTAATTGTAATAAAAAAGGTTTTCATCCATATATCTTATCCTTACACAACAAATAGAACATTTGTGTTTTGTTGTCAAATAACAGGCTGATCACATCCATCGCATTCGTTGATGTCACACAAAGGAAAAACTTTGGTGAAACTCACAAGCGCGGATATGCTGCTGACAAACCTAGAAACATGATCTGGGCGAACCGGGATTCGAATCCACGACCAAAGGTTTCTGGCAAGCCCAAGGAACGAAACTCGGAACAACCAATTGCGGCACCTTAGACGACTGAGCCAACAGTGCCCCCCCCCCCCCCCCCCTTCTTTCAGAAAATATACTAATTGAATAAAATGTCTCACCAGAATATTAATGTCCGGTCTCTTAATGGGGAGTTACCTCCCCTTGACGAAGCAGAACAGGTGGTTTGACGTAGCTTCTAATTTAAGATATATCACTGCGTGCCAGATTACCATGAGGGGAAAAACACCCTAACGCTGACCACTGACGTTGATGTCTGTTATGTATCATAATAGGGTCGGCCTGGGATTCGAACCCACAAGAAGGGAAACTGGCACGGCGTGGAAAATTCCGCGGCTTAGATCACAGAGCCACCCGACATGATGAGTTAGAGTGAGTGAGTGAGTGAGTGAGTGAGTGAGTGAGTGAGTGAGTGAGTGAGTGAGTGAGTGAGTGAGTGAGTGAATATGGTTTTACGCCGCTTTTAGCAATAATCCAGCAATATCATGGCGGGGGACACCAGAAATGGGCTTCACACATTGTACCCATGTCGGGAATCAAACCCGGGTTTTCGGCGTGACGAGCGAAACGATGAGTTAGAACATTGACAGTAATACGGTCGACACCAGTGGTGATGATGTTTTACGACATTGTCGGGGGGGGGGGGGGGGGGGGGGGGGGGGGGGGGGGGTAATGCTTCTATTGCAGATGGATGATTGTATCTGGACCAAGCGCGCGATGATGTGAGCACCATAGCACACCCATTTTAAAAAAATAAATATATTCTTGTATCTCATCTCTTCTTTTGAAATACCTAAGACGCCGTAAGAAATACAATCGCAATCAATAACAACAGGCAGAATTTTGATATTCTTTTTTTTCTCAAATCTATTACTATTTCCTTTATCTTCTTAACATTTAGAGTAATAATCTTGCACCATTCGAAAATTTTGAAATCTGGGAGCGATAATCAATTCCAGACTGCTTTATGAATCCGTCCACCGCAACTGCAAACCTAACGGATACACAATTGTTAGAATTACTGATACAGTCATTTGTGTCTAAAATACATAAAATAGGAGAGAGCACACAACCTTGAGGTGCACCCGTAGATGTAAAGGTTACAGATGACTTGAAACCATTTACAGTCACAAACTGTGGCCTGTTTACAAGAAAAGATTATATCTATATAATATTTGTTGAATTAACAGACATGTTAGATAACTGTTGCAGAAGCAGATGAGGTTGTATGGAATCAAAATCTGAGGAGAAGTCAACAAACAAGATTCCTTCAAATGATTTAGAAGTTTCAAGATGGGTCAGACTGATCTTTAGGGTCGGCTGTACAACGCTGGGCAGTTACAAAACCTATCCCCGGAAACAGATGTTTTCCAACTTCGAAGCTATTTAGCTATTTAGCCCGTATATTGTGTCACATGCAAGGTATCACTTAAAAGACCAGTGAAGATTCCGGGATAGAATAGGTCTTAAGCAACCAATGCTTGCAGTAAAAGGTGACTCTGCTTGTCGTAAAAGGCGACTAACGGGATCGGGTGGTCAGGCTCACTGACTTGGTTGATGCATGTCATCGATCCCAATTGCGTGGATCGATGCTCATGATATTAATCACTGGATTGTCTGGTCCAGGTTCGATTATTTACAGACCGCCGTCATATAGCTGGAATATTGCTGAGTGCGGCGTTAAACAACAAAGCAAGCAACCAACCAACCACTTAAAACAAAATCAAAGAAAGGTTGTCATCAAATTACGCCATAATAATGTATTGACTGTTTTTTACGACTGTTTTATTCAAGAAACAGGTACATTGACTGTTATATGGCCTTGGGGTGTGTGTAATCTAGGTTTGAATCAGGTGTAGTACAGGACGGTTGGCGGGGTGAATGAGTCAGTCGTGCATATATTCCGCGTGGGGCGCCAGCAGAGTACGCCATGTATATATAATTAACATGGTGTCTTTATCTTGCATGTAACAAAGGCATAAAGTTTTACAATCTAACGAGGTTATTATGGTCACTCCTAGGTATCGGCGCCATGATTGTGACGTCATCAAATACTTGGGGGAGACAACTCTTGTATTTACGTTATGATGTCCACTAAGATATATATATACACACATATATATATATATATACATATATATATATATATATATATATATATATATATATATATATATATATATATATATATTATGTTCGAGGGACCTGAGTGAGTGAGTGAGTGAGTGAGGTTTTACGCCGCTTTTAGCAATATTCCAGCGATATCACGGCGGGGGACACCAGAAATGGGCTTCACACATTGTACCCATGTCGGGAATCGAACCCGGGTCTTCGGCGTGACCAGCGAACGCTTTAACCACGAGGCTACCCGACCGCCCCTCGAGGGACCTGAAGTGGTGAATACGATGCAATGCTTGATAAAACAGATTCATTTACAGCATCATTTAATATGAATTCAAGTTTTTTTCTGTATTAAGAAATGTTTAGAACACATAGAGCACATTTCGTTCTCTTGGTGAATGAGTTAATGAGTATTTTACAAGAGGGGCATTATTCAAAACACTAAACCAATGTGTAATGTCTGCAGGATCTGGTACGTGTTGCCTGTGTGGACTACGTTCAAATTCCATACACGTGGGATGGTTAGATTCGGTGACATGGTCGACAGCGTGGTAGTTTGCTCATAATGTCAGCCACTCGTTGTGAAACCCAGGCGTAAGATGCACGCAATACACCCAGTCGCCCCGTACGACACAGATTCCTCGTTACCTATTCTAAGCTGGATTTATGAACTAATTACAAATAAATAATAAGCGCCACATTAATAAAGGGAGAGTAACCCTTTTCTGCCATATTGATCATACTCGTTAGTGAAAATGACATCGATATAAATTGTTGGGCAAAAGAAAGTATACACACATGTTTAATGGTGGTTAACATTTAACAAACAAGAAATGGTTAGTCGATGGGGATGTATTCATACGGGTATCATAGCTACGCTTTAGACTTAGGTTTGCAGTGTTTCGGGATTGTTTTCAGACTGAAAACCTTGTGTAACAAATCTTATATTTGAGATAACACTTTCTTAGTAAAGTACAGATTCTCGTATTTTTGGGGTTGAGTCCCATCCGGGATTCGAACCAACGCTGCCAGAGCGAGGCACTAATTCGCCAGCACACAAAGTCAACGATCTAACCCACTCAGCCACCGAGGCTTCCACCTTGTGATAACGTTTGTAATGTTTTGGTCAAATCAAGTGTATACTTTCTTTTGTCCGGCAGTGTATTTGATGACATTACATGTGGGCAGAAAGTACAAAATACATGATAGTTTGGCTGTAAGCGTTATTCCAGAAGTATGCCAGGAAATAAAGGATGGGTTGTATTCTCTTCACTGATATTGTGAATGGGTAGTAATCATGTTTCGACACAGTTTTACAATATAAATTACGATAAATGTTTCAGACCAGTAAACGAGTTCCTATCTCATTGAGGTACCTCTTGCTGTTTATCTCAATTTCGCACTTGGTAGCACTATTGAATTATTAAAATAGGCCCCAGAAACCCTTGCTTGTCGAAAGAGGAGACTTAATAGATTTGGTGGTGTGGCTCGCTGACAAGGATGATTGGTGTCATCGTACCCTGTTGACGTGGGAGGTTGCTGCTAATATCAACCGCTGGTTTGTCGAGTCCAGAATTGACCCTAACATCTGACCATTTCTTACAGAATGGGGAAACCGAAGGCAGGCTGGCCGCAAGCTCTTCCCTTGGTTTTCGTCCTTGTTGTTCTTCTGACTGGAATACATCCCACCAAGGGTCAAAGTAAATACACGGGCACACATATACTGTGAATCATGAAATTAATGCGAGCATGCGAGTGTCCTTTGACCACATGTCAAGCCGCTGAAGTGTTTTTCGTGATGATATCATACAATCGAAGTTCTATCATCCCATACTATTTGTTTTCCATGAAGTTTAAAGTTTTTTTATGTTATAGTTTGCTGATTAGTTTTTTTAAAGTTTAAAGGCAAGGCTACTTGCATTTATTTCATGACGCATTTTAGGCGTTAGTCGACACTCGCATTATATTGATGGCGCATTAATTTTATTATTTACAGAAATGCATTTTCCTTAGAATTTATTTGTATCTCATTTTAATATTCATAAAAAAAAATGTCATTATGACCTAACTTCCCGACCCGTGAAGATCCATGTTAGAATTGGTCTTCATTAGCCCATGCTTGTCGTAAGAGGCGACTGACGGGGTTGGGTGGTCAGGCATCGGTTGATGTATGTCATCGATCCCACTTGCGTGGATAGATGGTCAGGACATCAATCACTGGATTGTCTGGTCGAGACTCGATTATTACAGAGTGCCGTCATACAGCTGTAACAAACAAACAAACAAACAAACAAACAAGCCAACCAAACCTAACTTCCCGTTATAACCATTAATTTTTGATGGCTCTATTTCTCCTCAGCCTTTGCCAACAATTCTTTGTAAACATCGTAAAAGTAACTAATATTTGCTTTCTAAGTGACCATGTACAAAGCCTGTTCCCCACACTCTTACATGTATCCATGCTTGCCCATTGATTTGTTTGTTTGTTGTTTAACGCCGCAATATTCCAGCTATATTATGGCGGTCTGTAAATGATCGAGTCTGGACCAGACAAGCCAGTGATTGACATCATAAGCATCGATCCACGCATTTGGGATAGCATGACATGCATGAACCAAGTCAGCGAGCCTGACCACCCGATCCCGTTAGTCGCCTCTTACGACAAGCACAGTCGCCTCTTACGGCAAGCATGGGCTGCTGAAGACCTATTCTACTCTGGAACTTCACGGGTCGTATGCCCATTGAAGTTCCCCGGCTGTGGTACAGAAGCGTTTTCTCAGTACCCTTTGTCTGGCATCAAAGCCGACTAATATAGGAATATGGTGGCAACAATGAGTGACCAGGCTCTTTCCAAATGCAACACATTTTCCCGTGTATTTTCGGGTGACATTTGACTTGCCTTTGCATGTGTTTGTAACGGGTGCCACCTGTCGGGGAGAAAACGCTCACTCTTTCACAATACCTGTAACATCACTATTTGTTAGTGATTCAGAATCACATGCTTATAAGTCAGTCGTAATCGTACAAGCAGAGATGTTTTATGATGAAGTAAAGCGTTTTGTCGCTTTTATTTATCGTTGATATCAACCACTTTTAAAATTTGTCCTGACTCGATTTTGCACAAGTTGCCATGTTGTGGCTGAAATATTGCTGACTGCGGCGTTAAACATGATTCATTCACCCACTCACCATTCGTGCGAGGTATCTATTTGTAGTAATTGAACGAATCTTTTTTTACGAATTCAGTTTTTCACAAGTGTATTACTAGCTGCACTGGGGAAGACACTGGTTACTATGGGAACTGTGATTCCTGTGCTGGCTTCATTGTGTGTGTTCACGGTACGCTGATGAAGTTGCCGTGCCCCAGCGGACTGTTCTACAACTTCAACTCAGGCACGTGCACGTATGAATCACAAGCCACATGCAGGTACAAATAATGTGTAAACACGTTTGTTTCAGGAGAGTGAGTGAGTGAGTGAGTGAGTGAGTTGGTTAAACGCCGCTTTGAACAGTATTCCAGTTATATCACGGCGTGTCAGCTTAATGTGGGAGGAAAGCCCGAGGTGATGCAGGTCTCAGACGTTTACCACTTCGGTGAAACCCACGAGCAAGGGTATGGTGCTGACAAACCTAGACACATAATCGGGGCGAACCGGGATTCGAATCCACAATAATAGGTTTCTGGCGTTCCCGCGAATTGCGGCGCGTTAGGCGACTGGGCCATCCATGCCCCCTTGTTTCAGAAGTGTCGAGGTACCAGGGCCCTTTTGCTAACTGGAGATGTCAAATACTAAATTACTGAAAACTTGAAAATATTGTTTTGAAAATTATTGGACATGGTCATAATACTAGTATTACAAATGACAACGAGCTTTTTTCTCGCGTTTTCATCTTTTGACATACTGAAGTATATACATGAACATGACTATAAAAAGGTCCATTGTCAAAGCTGAATGTGTTGTGCCGTCTTTACCAAACTGTTGGGTCCAAGAAAGTTTTCAAATGAAAGTTGGATTTGACCAAAAATGACAAACATTATCAAAACCGTATAAGGCTGAGTGAGTGAGTGAGAGAGTTTAGTTTTACGCCGCTTTTAGCAATAATCCAGCAATATCACGGCGGGGGACACCAGAAATGGGCGTCACACATTGTACCTATGTCGGGATTCGAACCCGGGTCTTCGGCGTGACGAGCGAACGCTTTAACCACTAGGCTACCCGACCGCCCCCGTACTAGGCTGAACACAGTCACCGAATTTTAAGGTCCAAAACTCAACTATGAAAATGTATCAAATACACCACCACCGAAAAACTATTTCTCGTTTGTTTCATTTTTAGCCACTATCCAAAATGGCGGTATACTTCCTTTTGTCCGACAGTTTATACTCCCAAGAAAATCTGCATGATTCAAAGACTTGCTTTTGTTAAAAAAATCTCTTAAATGTCCTTTCGCTATATTTATTGTTGTTATTTTTCGATACCATACAGGTTTTATAAGATATTTTAAACATTCTCGTTCATATGAACTCATTTGATAAATTTCAATTCGTTTCTAAATGTTTAACTCATTTCTTAAATTATGCAGATCTTGTAAAAAGGTCTCAAACCTTACCGTATTCTTTGAATAAAATAATGGTTGTTGATACCGGGATGATTAGGTTCCAGCCACTCATGCCTACGTCCACTTTTGCCTAGTACAGTTACTATTGCCTACAAAAAAATAAAGCAGTGTGGAATAATGCCTACACAATGAAAACAACATACCCATGCTAGGAATGAATTCTTCCAATATTAAATTTCTTTGAAATCAGCAAATATCTGCTGGTGTATACTATAAGAACTAATGCAATGATGCAGAAATCATAAATTATTACTGTTGGTGTTATGGCAATGTGAAATAAAAAGTAACTTCATACAATTTTCTTTCTTTTGTCGCCTATAGGCATTATTCCACTAAAGTGGACTTGCCCAGTTAGAGATTGGCTAGCACTGATAGCATGTTCCGCTGAAAATCCCTGGTGTATGACTTTGTTTATTGTAGACTGTAGGCATTAGTGGATGTAGGCATTAGTGGACGCCGCCGGATGATTACAACAAAGATCTTGCAATAGTAGACGTAATAAGTGAGTGAGAGGCTTTACGTCACTTTCAGCAATATTCCAGCAATATCAGGGCGGGGGACACCAGAAACGGGTGACGTAATTAGCACATGCTATGGCGCCATAGTAAGTGAACGTACCTTACGTATCACTTTAAACCGCGTGCCACATCCATATAAGAATTTTCTCATTGTATTTTTGTCAGGAGAAATATACGTCCTTTTACAACTTTTTGTCTGTAACTAATCGCACAACTCTAAGTTAGTGGATAGGGTTTGACGCCGCTTTGAACAGTATACCAGTCAGATCAAGGCGTGTCAGCTTACTGTGGGAGGAAAGCCCGAAGTGATGAAAGTCTTTGACGTCTACCACTTTGGTGAATTTCACGAGCATGGGTTAGTGCTGACAAACGTAAAAAATAACCTGAGACGACAAGGCAACCCGTGTCCAGTACACAAAGTCTAAAGTGTGACAAATTTTAGTTGTTCCATCAGGGGGGTTATAATGTTCCAGTCACAATCGACGCTGCAGAAATCGCTATATTATGTTGCAGCCAAATAACCAGCCCTACGACGCAGCCCACGACACCCAGTCTCAATGGTAAGTACGGCAACACCCTTAAAGGGGCACTAGGATCGGTATAAATGGCAGTCCCAGCTGATTTGTGTCATGGCATTGAAACACATCTTTAACTGTCTACGTTGCACCTCAATATCACATCAGTGGTTGATGTCAGAGATACAATTCATCAATTTCATACATGACACTAATTACAATGTCTACAAACTGAACAGGCATTAGGGTCGTGACACAGAGCTATCTTAGCGCTAAGACGATCGTAACTGCCATACATTAACACAGACTTGCGACAGTCGTAGCGCTAAGACGATCGTAACTGCCATACCTTAACACAGACTTGCGACAGTCGTAGCGCTAAGACGATCGTAACTGCCATACCTTAACACAGACTTGCGACAATCGTAGCGCTAAGACGATCGTAACTGCCATACCTTCACATAGACTTGCGACAGTCGTAGCGCTAAGACCATCGTAACTGCCATACCTGAACATAGACTTGAGACAGTCGTAGCGCTAAGACGATCGTTACTGCCATACCTTAACATAGACTTGCGACAGTCGTAGCGCTAAGACGATCGTAACTGTCATACCTTAACATAGACTTGCGACAGTCGTAGCGCAGAGACGATCGTAACTGCCATACTTTAACACAGACTTGCGACAGTCATATCGCTAAGACGATCGTAACTGTCATACCTTAACATAGACTTGCGACAGTCGTAGCGCTAAGACGATCGTAACTGTCATACCTTAACATAGACTTGCGACAGTCGTAGCGCTAAGACGATCGTAACTGCCATACCTTAACACAGACTTGCGACAGTCATATCGCTAAGACGATCGTAACTGCGATACCTTTACACAGACTTGCGACAGTCGTAGCGCTAAGACGAACGTAACTGCCATACCTTAACACAGACTTGCGACAGTCGTAGCGCTAAGACGATCGTAACTGTCATACCTTAACACAGACTTGCGACAGTCGTAGGGCTAAGACGATCGTAACTGCCATACCTTAACATAGACTTGCGACAGTCGTAGCGCTAAGACGATCTCAACTCCCATCCTTTAACATATACGCTTTTTATCAGAGGTGACACGCCCTACCTTGATTGCGTTACCCTACACACTGTGTGATATTTCCAGGTAGTCAGTGGGGAAGCCACCGCTACTGAACCACGTTGCACTAAGTTGAGCTATGGCTGTCAAAGATCTGTACGTAAACAAAGCGTCGTTAAACACAACTCACTCACTCTATAGTTAGATAGACGTAAACAATCACCACCCAGTCAGCCTGGCTAAGTCTCGATTATTTACAGGCCGACGTAATTAAATTGCAATATTGTTGATTGTGGCGTTTAGCAGCATTCACTCACCCCTTCACTGTCTGCAGCCTTCACGTCGTGTACAAGCACCTGCGTGGGCAAGGAGGACGGGTACTACCCGAGCTGTACAGACTGCGCCCAGTACAGCATATGCCGCTCCAACAACATGGAACAGCACCAGTGTCCGGGCGGACAGTGGTTTGACGCATCGAGGGGAGTCTGCGACCAGTCCGCCAGCGTATCCTGCAGGTAAAACCAGTCTGTAATGGTTTGCTAATTGCAGAACTGAAAAAGATTAGAATAAAACCGGACGGAGTGATGCGGATATAAACACATAGATGCCTTAAATAATATTAATATAATAATATAATATTGAATTAAGATACACGAAAGACACGCGTAATACTCAGAAGGAACCAAATAGTACTGCATATCCAGATGGTTTATTATGGATGCTGTTCATGTTGTATTTATACATGCGGCATACGTTTATGCATGATATGTCTATGCATACCACTTACTGTTTATTTATGCGTACCGAATAGTGTGTATTTATGCATACCACATATTGTGTATTTATGCAAACCACAGATTGTGTATTTATGCATACCACAGATTGTGTATTTATGCATACCACAGATTGTGTATTTATGCATACCACAGATTGTGTATTTATGCATACCACATATTGTGTATTTATGCATACCACATATTGTGTATTTATGCATACCACATATGGTGCATTTATGCATACCACAGATTGTGTATTTATGCATACCACAGATTGTGTATTTATGCATACCACAGATAGTGTACTTATGCATATCACAGATTGTGTATTTATGCATACCACAGATTGTGTATTTATGCATACCACAGAATGTGTATTTATGCATACCACATATGGTGTATTTATGCATACCACAGATTGTATTTTTATGCAAACCACATACTGTGTATTTATGCATACCACAGATTGTGTATTTATGCATACCACAGATTGTGTATTTATGCATACCACATATTGTGTATTTATGCATACCACAGATTGTGTATTTATGCATACCACATATGGTGTATTTATGCATACCACATATTGTGTATTTATGCATACCACAGATTGTGTATTTATGCATACCACCGATTGTGTATTTATGCATACCACAGATTGTGTATTTATGCATACCACATATTGTGTATTTATGCATACCACATATGGTGTATTTATGCATACGACAGATTGTTTATTTATGCATACCACATATTGTGTATTTATGCATACCACCGATTGTGTACTTATGCATACCACAGATTGTGTATTTATGCATACCACCGATTGTGTATTTATGCATACCACAGAATGTGTATTTATGCATACCACAGATTGTGTATTTATGCATACCACAGATTGTATTTTTATGCAAACCACATACTGTGTATTTATGCATACCACAGATTGTGTATTTATGCATACCACAGATTGTGTACTTATGCATACCACAGATTGTGTATTTATGCATACCACCGATTGTGTATTTATGCATACCACAGAATGTGTATTTATGCATACCACAGATTGTGTATTTATGCATACCACATATTATGTATCTATTCATACCACGGATAGTGTATTTATGCATACCACATTTCGTGTATTTACGTATACAACCTATTGTTTATTTATGCATGTAACATATTGTTAATTATGCATATCACAGATTGTTTATTTCTGCATACCACGGATTGTTTATTTACGCATACACCATTTATTTTTTATGCGTACCCCAAGATTGTTTATTTATGCATATCACAGATTGTTTATTTTTGCATAAGACAGATTGTATATTTATGCATACCGCAGATTGTTTATTTGTGATTGCTGCTTCTTAATTATTACACATGCGTTCCTCAGACGTGTGTCTATCATTCAAGACGTGAACACATTCGAGAGAATGTAATTTGATTACGTCTCTGAGATGAAGCATTGTAGTGTTCAGGTTTTTAAAAACGAACGAATATTAATATATTGGTTGGACTATATTATTCCTGAACATATTTATCTAAGCGCAGAATACACTGAATGCAATTATTTTACGAGCGCATTTTTTGGTTACCAACCATTTCCTCTATTTCCCTTTCAGTGTCACCCCGGTCACTCTCCCGACCACACTGCAGGCACTCTTAGGTGAGTTCCTGATGCCATTGTTGTTGGACGATATCGTAATAACTGTTGTTAGACGACAATGGCAACACTGTTGTTAGGCGACATTGACATCACTGTGGACACATATTGATACGCTAGCCATACAACATCGAGAAGAGTGATGTTTGTCCACCTTCGCACGAGGTTAACATAAACGTTGTTAGACATGGCAGAATGTTGTTAGACGACACGGCTTAAATGTTGTTAGACGAGATGGCTAAAATGTTGTTAGACGACATGGCTAAAATGTTGTTAGACGACATAGCCAAACTGTTGTTAGACGACATGGCTAAAATGTTGTTAGACGACACGGCTAAAATGTTGTTAGACGAGATGGCTAAAATGTTGTTAGACGACACGGCTAAAATGTTGTTAGACGACACGGCTAAAATGTTGTTAGACGACATGGCTAAAATGTTGTTAGACGACACGGCTAAAATGTTGTTAGACGAGATGGCTAAAATGTTGTTAGACGACACGGCTAAAATGTTGTTAGACGACATAGCCAAACGGTTGTTAGTTGACAAGACCAAAATGTTGTTAGACGACACGGCTAAAATGTTGTTAGACGACATGGCTAAAATGTTGTTAGTGGACAAAACCAAAATGTTGTTAGACGACACGGCTTAAATGTTGTTTGACGACACGGCTAAAATGTTGTTAGACGACATAGCCAAACTGTTGTTAGTGGACAAAACCAAAATGTTGTTAGACGACACGGCTTAAATGTTGTTTGACGACACGGCTTAAATGTTGTTCGACGACATAGCCAAACTGTTGTTAGTTGACAAGACCAAAATAATGTTAGACGACATGGCTAAAATGTTGTTCAACGACATAGCCAAACTGTTGTTAGATGACAAGACCAAAATGTTGTTAGACGACACGGCTTAAATGTTGTTAGACGACATGGCCAAACTGTTGTTAGTTGACAAGACCTAAATGTTGTTAGACGACACGGCTTAAATGTTGTTAGACGACACGGCTAAAATGTTGTTATACTACATGGACAAGAAAGCTGTTGGAAGACAATCGCGACAGGTTTTAAGTGTATGCTATCGTAGATTGAATAAACTTTGTTCTAATTTGAAACTCAATATGTGAAATGTGAGTTTACACGTCCAGATATCCGTGACTGACAGTTATACAACTATTTAAAGAATCTCGTGACGTCGGTTGACTGAAATGTACGAAACCACCAAGAAGTCTGAAAACACATAATGTTTATCGACATTGTAAATCAATATTTTTTCGTAGTAAAAAAATACCAAATCATTCATGCATTCGCAGTGAAAAATCTCATTACGTTACAATTACAGAGGATTTTAAGCATGATTCGATTACCTTGATTGAACAGTCATAATCTATTTTTTATTTCTGAATTCCCGTTAAAATTAGCATTGAACATAAAACTTAGACGTGTTATTGTAGGAACTAATATGTTGTCCTTTTCGTAAAAATGATGTTTTTTTCAGCACATACGACATGTCTGACTGGGGACTGTAAGGATCAAGTGGATGGCTATTACCCTGATTGTACATCGCCCTGTAAAATATACTTCCTCTGTGTCGATGAGGATGCTTTCGCTTTCGACTGCAAGGAGCTGTTCTATATGAAGAGCCAGGGCCAGTGCGGCAGTACCCCTGCTGCAGGATGCAGGTACGTGGAGGTTGGGACCCGGGTTAAAATAGGTTCCCTGGATTCTATTTTATGTTGTAAAGGTCACACTGCTGGATCGAGCGGTCAATGTTGCTGTGTGTCATTGTGATTGGGACGTTTCTCATCATGTATCATTTCCTTAGTGGATCGCATGGCCAGGCTCGGCCAGGTTCGGTTAACTGTGCGTCATCGTGCATGCTCTCAATCACTGGTGTGACTGACCAGGTTTCGGTTCTTTACATGCCACATGCTGACTACAGCATCTCAAACATTTACTAACTCAAACATTCACTAACTCAGTTACTAACTCAAACATGTACTAACTCAAACATTTACTAACTCAAACATTTACTAACTCAAACAGTTACTAACTCAAACATTCTCTAACTCAAACATTCACTTACTCAAACAGTTACTAACTCAAACATTAACTAACTCGGTTACTAATTCAAACATTTACTAACTCAAACATTCACCAACTAAAACATTTACTAGCTCAAACATTTACCAGCTGAAACATTTACTGACTCAGTTACTAACTCAAATATTCATCAACTCAAACATTTACTAACTCAAACATTTACTAGCTCAAATATTCACTAGCACAAACATTTACTAACTCAAACGATGGCTAATTCAAATATTCACTGACTCTAACGTTTACGAACACTTTTAATTACTTGGTTTACGAATCCATTTAAGACTTCACAAATTTGAAGGTTAGTTCCCCACCCGTCGAAATTGTTAACGAATTTCGCCAACTGAAGAAAACCCTCAAAAGTAGGTCAAGTGGGGTCGGAGATTACCTTGTATCTACAGTTCTTCTATCTGTTCGCATTTTCTTTATTTTAATTGAGCGATTAAACTTTTACGAGGTAGCTTATTTATTTATTTTATTTTGAAAAAAATAAATTACTGAACATTATTTTTTGCTATAACTTTCAAAATCTGAAAACAAATATTGACCGATTGTGTTTTCATTAATGTTTATTTTGAAGTCCAACCACATCTGTAACAACATCTGCCACAACTTCACCGACGACCTCTGCCACAACCTCTGCAACGACATCCGGAACAACGTCTCCAACAACATCCCCAACAACGTCTGCTACAACCCAGTCACTATTACCAATAAGTAAGCAAACGTTTCAAGAAGTGTATGTCCACCGCATCATATAAACGTCCATTTGAATTCTGGTCTCATTTGTGTCTCTCCATTTAACACCAAATCTCTTCCCAGAATCCCAGACGTGCGCCTCGAGCTGTGTGGGGAGGGCTACCGGGTACTACCCTGACTGTACGGACCCCTGCAAGGTGTTCCGCATCTGTCACGCTGGGCAGGAGTTTGTGACCAACTGTGACCCTTTGTTCTACAACTTTGTTGACGGGGAGTGTGACCATTTCCCCACACCTGGATGCAGGTATGTACTGATATTTGTCCCTTAATTTAATAAATTTAACTTTAAATTACCGTCATATTACCCAGTTCCATTGTCAACATCTTACTAAGGTGTGAACATTGGTCAGATGTGAAATGTTCAAATGGTGTGTCAATACATCCTAATTGTTCAGTCACCTTTAAACATGTTTATTTACAAATTGGGAAATTTTATGACGGGTGGATCCGAACACCATGTAATCAAATGTCTTGTTTAAGTGAGGCGACAGCGTCAGCAACAAGTGCGACAACATCAGCAACGACTTCGGCATCCACGAGTCGTAAGTATTCCTTGTTAGTAATGTTGGTGTAATGGGTGTGTTACGAGATGATTATTATCAATTTGAAACGCAAAGGATTACCAGAAACCGGTCCGTACATAACTAAATTCGGAAATCAGTTAATGACCACATAAGATCTACAAGATCCCCGAATATGAAACACAGGTTTACATTATCAAACACACGTTTAGGTTTACAGTAGATAATGACAATACAATGGGACAAATAAGTGTCACTGTATAATGACAATACAATGGGACAAATATGTGTCATGGTATAACGACAATACAATGGGACAGTCCTCTGGAAACTGCCCCATCCCGAAACTTCTCGATGGATTAAGCTGCACATGTTTGTCAACAACCAATTGAAGTTATTTGAAATCCACCTTTAAAAATCTGGTCACTTATCGACATTTTACCAGCGCTTTAATCATTTGCTGCCACTGACAATCACTTAAAAAACCCAACAACTTACAACAGTCTCTACTGCATCATAACAGGTACATCATGTACTTTATTGATGTTTGGTTTAACGGAAGTAATTATTTATGCAAACAATTGCATGCTTCGGGAAATTGCGAAATATCATTACCGAATAAATAAAAATAAACCATCGAGCGATATTCAAACGTTGGATGACATAAAGTAACACACATGTGTTTTAAATAACAACTTTTTACGTCGGATATGTAGAAAATCCATGTGATCCTAAATTTAGCATGTTTGGTGAGCCTCGTTTGGGGAATAAAGCAGCGGTTGCAATGCTCGTTCGATGTCTACTTTTTAAGTACGTTCATCACCAAGAAAAGAGAATAAGTACTTTCGAATGCTGAATGAGTTTCTTTACTGCTCAACATATTTTTTTATCGAGTTTATAAACACAACCACTATGGTATAAGGATCATAATGTTCGTGATATCTGGTGCTTAATGACCTCAAATGTCTGATGTTGAGTGATCGTATCGACGGTACACTGTGGCCAGAAACTTCTACAACTGCCTAAACAAAGCCAGCAAAACCTCCTAATCATATATGCTAGTGCTCTTTTTTTCCGATCTCCACAGTCACTGTAGTCTGGCTAATATCTTCATTTTACAAACAAACCCTCTTTACCATACCGATCGACCCGAGATCCGGGTTTGAATTGATGTTCAGTAACCGATGCTTGTCGTAAGATGTGACGGTTGCTCAGGCTCGCTGACTTGGTTGAAGCATGTTATCGTATCCTTATTGCTTAGAGCAAAGCTCATGGTGCCAATCACTGGATTGTCTGGTCCAGATGCGATTATTTACAGACCGCCGTTATACAGCTGAGTGCGGCGTTAAACAATAATAAAAAAAACATACTAAGTTCAGGTTTTGTCGATATGTTCATCTGGATGTCTCCGTATCGGTGAGGCAGTGGTTGTTGAGTGACAAAGATGGACATTTTTAAGTTGTATCACGGCGACCTACAACTGAGCCACCACTGACTGAAACCGTAATCATCCACCCCATTGGTGTGAGATGACAAGAAATCAGAAATACTACCCAGCCTGACAACCCGATCTACTTTGTAGTGAGTGAGTGAGTTAATATTTAACGTCACATCGGCAATATTTCAGCCATACCGTGACGAGAAGTAATACGTTATTTATCACCTATATCTAAACTTTATAAAAACCTGTCATCAAAGGATGGTACAATAACTAGAATATCACAGAGTCTATCTAAAACTAGTTGAGGAACATTTAAAAGCAGAAAGAATTAACAACACAATGTAAAAATGGACTTGAGATCGTCAGTAACTAAAGGGAGATCACCATACCAGGGACCATGGGGACTTACAGTGCCTTTGCTTCCTGCATGGACACTGGCAGGATTTATATCATCCCTTCAGTCAATGGCGATATTTTTTATTTGTTAAGCCGAATATTAAAATGACGAAAATTCGACGTTTTAAAATTCTGCATGCATATAAATACTTCGAATGATGTGGGACTTACATACCCTTTTAGGGGGACAATAATTTTACGCTGCTTCAACCCCCCTCGAGGGTACAGCCTCTACTATGTAGTGCCTTCACGACAAGCATTGAGTAAGGGAAACTATTCCTCCCCGGAATCTTTACACAGATAAATTACTAATTGAGTTGGTCGACAGTGAAACTAGGGTCGTCATTACGATGTAATCAACAAGCAAACAGCTACTTCAGTGACACTTTCTCCTACTTCAGGTACAACATCCGTTACTACATCTGCAACCACATCGGTCACAACTTCTCCTACAACCTCTTTCACAACATCACTAAGCACTTCGTCAACTACATCAGCGACTACGTCAGTAACTACTTCTCCTACCACCTCGGCTACGACATCAGCTACTACCTCGCCAACCACATCGGCGACGACATCTGTAACAACGTCTCCTACCACATCCGTCACAACCAGTGGTAAGTAGAGGCCTTTAATTCATGTATATTAAAGAGCTTAAAGTAATAACTAAATGGAAATATTATTTTTGTGTGTTTTTGTGTGTGTGTGTGTGGATAAGTGGATAAGAGCTACCGAGTATGTCAGGTTTGTTCAAAATGATTTGTTTGATGCAGCCATTTTGTACAAAAAAATAAGCCAGACGTCAAATTTAATAATTATCGCTACTATCCACGCCAGCGACTACCTCGCCTACTACATCCCCAACTACGTCAGCTACTACTTCTCCAACAACCTCACCAACCACTTCGCCAACTACATCAGCGACCACCTCGCCAACTACATCAGCGACTACCTCGCCAACCACATCAGCGACCACCTCGCCAACAACTTCGCAAACTACATCAGCGACCACCTCGCCAACTACATCAGCGACTACCTCGCCAACCACATCAGCGACCACCTCGCCAACAACTTCGCCAACTACATCAGCGACCACCTCGCCAACTACATCAGCGACCACCTCGCCAACCACATCAGCGACCACCTCGCCAACCACATCAGCGACCACTTCGCCAACCACATCAGCGACCACCTCGCCAACCACTTCGCCAACTACATCAGCTACCACCTCGCCAACCACATCCCCAACTACATCAGCGACCACTTCTCCAACCACTTCACCAACCACATCAGCGACCACCTCACCAACCACTTCGCCAACTACATCAGCAACAACGTCTGCTACAACTCAAGGACCACCAATAAGTAAGAAACTCTTCTGGCCCATCATGTGATTGTCTGGTTTGTTTACAGAACTCCGTAGGCAGGAGAACTCTTGTGCGGTGTCAGTCAACAAACACTTGCTTTTTTATGCAGATTGTGCGAGTGGCGGGTTCTACCGGTAGGGCAGGACATGCTTACTCCTTCGTTGACAGTTGGTGTCACTGATTTCAGTGAATCATTCATATAATGTTCACCGCTATTTTGTCTTTTACATCCAATGGAATCTGTTGTAACAAAACTCACTAGACTTTCAGCCATGTACGTCCATTGTCAATATTTCACGGGTTTGCACAGCGACCGGGTGTATTCATGGAGGGTGGAATGGGGTAGTGAACACAAGACCGTGAAGTGATATGTAAACTTAATGTGTCTAAATGTCTTCCCAGAATCCCAGACGTGCGCCTCGAGCTGTGTGGGGAGGGCTACCGGGTACTACCCTGACTGTACGGACCCCTGCAAGGTGTTCCGCATCTGTCACGCTGGGCAGGAGTTTGTGACCAACTGTGACCCTTTGTTCTACAACTTTGTTGACGGGGAGTGTGACCATTTCCCCACGCCTGGATGCAGGTATGTACTGATATTTGTCCCTTAATTTAATAAATTTAACTTTAAATTACCGTCAAATTACCCAGTTATCATTGTCAACATCTTACTAAGGTGTGAACATTGGTCAGATGTGAAATTTTCAAATGGTGTGTCTATACATCCTAATTGTTAAATCACATTTAAACATGTTTATTTACAAATTGCGGATCCGAACACTATGAAATTAAATGTCTTGTTTAAGTGAGGCAACAACGTCAGCAACAAGTGCGACAACATCAGCAACGACCTCGGCATCCACGAGTCGTAAGTATTCCTTGTTAGTAATGACATAATTGTAATGATGTGTCACGAGATGATTATCAATTTGAAACGCAAAGGTTAACCACAAACCGGTACGTACATGACAAACTTGGGAAATCAGTAAATGACCACATCAGATCTACAAGATCTCCGAATATCAAACACGCTGGTTTAGGTTAACAATATAGATAATGACAATACAATTGGAAAAAATAAGTGCCATTGTATAATGAAAATACAAAGGGTCAAATATGTGTCGTATAATGACAATACAATTGGAAAAAATAAGTGCCATTGTATAATGACAATACAATGGGTCAAATATGGGTCGTATAATGACAATACAATGGGATAAATAAGTGTCATTGTATTATGACAATACAATGGAAATAATAAGTATCATTGTATAATGACAATACAATGTAAATAATAAGTGTCATTGTATAATGACAATACAATGGAAATGAGAGGTATCATTGTACAGTGACAATACAATGGAAATAATAAGTGTCATTGTATAATGACAATACAATGGGACAAAAAGTGCCCTTGTGTAATGACAATGTAATGAGACAAGTAAGTGTCATTGTATAATGATAATACAATGGTATAAATAAGTGTCATTGTATAATGACAATATAATGTGATAAATAAGTGTCATTGTATAATGACAATATAATGTGATAAATAAGTGTCATTGTATAAGAATATTACAATGGTACAAAAGTGTTATTGTATAATGACAATACAATGTGTCAAATACGTGCCATTGTATAATGACAATACAATCTGATAAATAAGTGTCATTGTATAATTTTATTACAATGGGACAAAAGTGTCATTGTATAATGTCAATACAATGGGACAAAAGTGCCCTTGTTTAATGACAATGTAATGAGACAAGTAAGTGTCATTGTATAATGACAATACAATGGTATAAATAAGTGTCATTGTATAATGACAATACAATGATATTAATAAGTGTTATTGTTTAACGACAATACAATGGGATAATTAGTGTCATTTTGTACTTATATAACAATGGGACAAAGTGTTATTGTATAATGAAAATACAATGGGTCAAATACGTGCCATTGTATAATGACAATACAATGGTATAAATAAGAATCATTGTATAATGACAATACAATGGTATAAATAAGTGCCATTATATAATGACAATACAATGGGGCAGTCCTCTAGAAACTGTCCCATCCCGAAACTTCTCGATGGATTAAGCTGCACATGTTTGTCAACAACCAAGTGAGGTTATTCGAAATCCACCTTTAAAAATCTGGTCACTTATCGACATTTTACCAGCGCTTTAATTATTTGCTGCCACTGACAATCACTTAAAAAACAAACAAACTTACAACAATCTCCACTGCATCATCACAGGTATATCATGTACTTTATCGATGTTTGGTTTAACGGAAGTAATTATTTATACAAACAATTGCTTGCTTCGGGAAATTGCGAAATATCATTACCGAATAAATAAAAATAAACCATCGAGTGATATCCGAACATTGGATGACATAAAGTAACACAAATATGTTTTAAATAACAATCGGATATGTAGAAAATCCATGTGACCCTAAATTTAGCATGTTTGGTGAGCCTCGTTTGGGGGAATAAAGCAGCGGTTGCAATGCTCGTTCGATGTCTACTTTTTAAGTTCGTACATCACGAAGAGAAGAGAATATGTACTTTCGAATGCTGAATGAGTTTCTTTACTGCTCAACATATTTTTTTATCGAGTTTATAAACACAACCACTATGGTATAAGGATTATAAAGTTCGTGATATCAGGTGCTTAATGACCTCAAATGTCTGATGTTGAGTGATCGTATCGACGGTACACTGTGACCAGAAACTTCTACAGCTGCCTAAACAAAGCCAGCAAAACCTCCTGATCATATATGCTAGTGCTCTTTTCTCCGATCTCCACAGTCACTGTAGTCTGGCTAATGTCTTCATTTTACAACCAAACCCTCTTTACCATACCGATCGACCCGAGATCCGGGTTTGAATTGATGTTCAGTAACCGATGCTTGTCGTAAGATGTGACGGTTGCTCAGGCTCGCTGACTTGGTTGATGCATGTTATCGTATCCTTATTGCTTAGAGCAATGCTCATGGTGTCAATCACTGGATTGTCTGGTCCAGATTCGATTATTTACAGACGTTATACAGCTGAGTGCGGCGTTAAACAATAAACAAACATACTAAGATCAGGTTTTGTCTGGATGTCTCCGTATCGGAGAGGCAGTGGATGTTGAGAGACAAAGATGGACATTTTTAAGTTGTATCGCCCTACTTCAGGTACAACATCCGTTACTACATCTGCAACCACATCGGTCACAACTTCTCCTACAACCTCTATCACAACATCACTGAGCACCTCGTCAACTACATCAGCGACTACGTCAGTAACTACTTCTCCTACCACCTCGGCTACGACATCAGCTACTACCTCGCCAACCACATCGGCGACGACATCTGTAACAACGTCTCCTACCACATCCGTCACAACCAGTGGTAAGTACAGGCCTGTAATGCATGTATACTAAAGAGCTTAAAGAAATAACTAAATGGCAGTGTTATTTTGTGTTGTTTTTTTTGTGTGTGTGGATAAGTGAATAAGATCTACCGAGTATGTCAGGTGTGTTCAGAATGTTTTGTTTGATGCAGCCATATTGTACCAAAAGGTACCAAATTTAATAATTATCGCTACTATCCACGCCAGCGACTACCTCGCCTACTACATCCCCAACTACATCAGCGACCACCTCGCCAACCACTTCGCCAACCACATCAGCGACCACCTCGCCAACCACTTCGCCAACTACATCAGCTACGCCCTCGCCAACCACTTCGCCAACTACATCAGCCACCACTTCTCCAACCACTTCGCCAACTACATCAGCTACCACCTCACCAACCACATCCCCAACTACATCAGAGACCACCTCGCCAACCACTTCGCCAACCACATCAGCGACCACCTCGCCAACCACTTCGCCAACTACATCAGCTACGCCCTCGCCAACCACTTCGCCAACTACATCAGCTACCACTTCTCCAACCACTTCGCCAACTACATCAGCTACCACCTCACCAACCACATCCCCAACTACATCAGAGACCACCTCGCCAACCACTTCGCCAACCACATCAGCGACCACCTCGCCAACCACTTCGCCAACCACATCAGCGACCACCTCGCCAACCACTTCGCCAACTACATCAGCTACCACCTCGCCAACCACTTCGCCAACTACATCAGCTACCACTTCTCCAACCACTTCGCCAACTACATCAGCTACCACCTCGCCAACCACTTCGCCAACCACATCAGCGACCACCTCGCCAACCACTTCGCCAACTACATCAGCTACCACTTTGCCAACTACATCAGCGACCACCTCGCCAACCACATCCCCAACTACATCAGCGACCACCTCGCCAACCACTTCGCCAACCACATCAGCGACCATCTCGCCAACCACTTCGCCAACTACATCAGCTACCACTTCGCCAACTACATCAGCGACCACCTCGCCAACCACATCCCCAACTACATCAGCGACCACCTCGCCAACCACTTCGCCAACCACATCAGCGACCATCTCGCCAACCACTTCGCCAACTACATCAGCGACCACCTCGCCAACCACATCCTCAACTACATCAGCTACCACCTCGCCAACCACTTCGCCAGCCACATCAGCGACCACCTCGCCCACCACTTCGCCAACTACATCAGCTACCACTTCTCCAACCACTTCACCAACTACATCAGCTACCACCTCGCCAACCACATCCCCAACTACATCAGCGACCACCTCGCCAACCACTTCGCCAACCACATCAGCGACCACCTCGCCAACCACTTCGCCAACTACATCAGCTACCACTTCTCCAACCACCTCGCCAACTACATCAGCTACCACCCCGCCAACCACATCCCCAACTAAATCAGCGACCACCTCGCCAACCACTTCGCCAACCACATCAGCAACCACCTCGCCAACCACTTCGCCAACTACATCAGCTACCACTTCTCCAACCACTTCGCCAACCACATCAGCGACCACCTCGCCAACCACTTCGCCAACTACATCAGCTACCACTTCTCCAACCACTTCGCCAAATACATCAGCGACCACCTCGCCAACCACTTCGCCAACTACATCAGCTACCACCTCGCCAACCACATCCCCAACTACATCAGCTACCACCTCGCCAACCACATCCCCAACTACATCAGCGACCACCTCGCCAACCACTTCGCCAACTACATCAGCGACCACCTCGCCAACCACTTCGCCAACTACATCAGCTACGTCCTCGCCAACCACTTCGCCAACTACATCAGCGACCACCTCGCCAGCCACATCCCCAACTACATCAGCGACCACCTCGCCAACCACTTCGCCAACCACATCAGCTACGCCCTCGCCAACCACTTCGCCAACTACATCAGCTACCACCTCGCCAACCACTTCGCCAACTACATCAGCTACCACTTCTCCAACCACTTCGCCAACTACATCGGCGACCACCTCGCCAACCACATCCCCAACTACATCAGCGACCACCTCGCCAACCACTTCGCCAACTACATCAGCGACCACCTCGCCAACCACTTCGCCAACTACATCAGCGACCACCTCGCCAACCACTTCGCCAACTACATCAGCTACCACAACTGCAACAACGTCAGTAACCACTTCTCCTACTACATCAGCAACCACATCGGCCACAACATCAGTCACAACCAGTGGTCAGTGCATGCCTACAAATCAATTGTAGATCTTGTAGAAAGTTATCCTATGTGAATAGATTAATCTTTAACGAAATGTTTCGCGCTCTCGTCAACATCTTCTTTACTTCCACCCCCTTCTTCTACTTCAGCCACCACGTCTCCAACTACTTCGGCAAGTACGTCTCCAACTACATCAGCAACAACGTCTGCTACAACTCAAGGACCACCAATAAGTAAGAAACTCTTCTGGCCCATCATGTGATTGTCTGGTTTGTTTACAGAACTCCGTAGGCAGGAGTACTCCTACGCGGTGTCAGTCAACAAACACTTGCTTTTTTATGCAGATTGTGCGAGTGGCGGGTGCTGCCGGTAGGGCAGGACATGCTTACTCTTTTCGTTGACAGTTGGTGTCACTGATTTCAGTGAATCATTCATATAACGTCACCGCTATTTTGTCTTTTACACCCAATGGAATCTGTTAGCAGATAATCGAGATAGATTAATCTCTGGCGTTGATGTTTTATATTTACATTAGTGATGCACCCGTGAAGATCCGGGTTAGAATAGGTCTTCAGCAACCCGTGCTTGCCGTAAAAGGCGACTATGCTTGTCGTAAGAGGCGACTAACGGGATCGAGTGGTCAGACTCAGTGACTTGGTTGATGCATGTCATCATATTCCAATTGCCTGCGTCGAGACTCGATTATTTACAGAGCGCCGTCATATAGCTAGAATATTGCTGAGTGCGGCGTTAAACAACAAACAAACAAACAAAACAGTTAACAGTGCAGAACCCCTTGTAACAACAGGCATTAAACCACCAACAATTAAATGAGAGTTTGTTAAACAACTTTTTCTACACTTCATGACAATATCTCAAATTATGGGAAGGAGTTTGTATGGACAGACACAATTAATAACTTTCATGCCATTCAAGACGAATTGTTGCGTGCGGATTTATAACTATTTTACAGCAAACGGACTGTATTACTAACATAGATTTTCTTTGACGGACATAGAAAGGACACTCTAATAGATAATGAAAAGAGTTTCCCACCCCTGTATTCCCGCTCTGTTATGTGTAACAAAACTCACTCGTCTTTCAGCACAGCGACCGGGTGTATTCATGGAGGGTGTAATGGGGTAGTGTATACAAGACCGTGAAGTCATATGTAAACTTAATGTGTCTAAATCTCTTCCCAGAATCCCAGACGTGCGCCTCGAGCTGTGTGGGGAGGGCTACCGGGTACTACCCTGACTGTACGGACCCCTGCAAGGTGTTCCGCATCTGTCACGCTGGGCAGGAGTTTCTGACCAACTGTGACCCCTTGTTCTACAACTTTGTTGACGGGGAGTGTGACCTGCTCCCCACACCTGGATGCAGGTATAGTACACTACGGTTATAACGAACTCAAAGGGAGCACTAACTTTAGTTCGTTATAACCGTAGTTCGTTATAAGCATATATACAGCAAATGTACCGGACCAAAAAGCAGTTCGTTATAAGCGTGTTCGTTATAAACGTATATTGTTTTCACCAATTATACTTTGATTCGGATAAAACGAATATTAACTTCAGGCATAACAGGATGTGAGTGAGCGAAGGAGCAAGTGGCCATTCAGGAGATATACACTCCGTGTTCTCACCATAGAGGGGGCGGTCGGGTAGCCTAGTGGTTGCCACGCCGAAGACCCAGGTTCGATTCCCGACATGGGTACAATGTGTGAAGCCCATTTCTGGTGTCCCCCGTCGTGATATTGCTGGAATATTGCTAAAAGCGGCGTAAAACCATACTCACTCACTCACTCACTCACTATAGAGCAATGTTACAGCACCTGTAGATGTAACCTCCTAAATTGAATTTGTGGAACCCAGGCGAGCGAGTCTGCACGTTTGCTGTTTCATTCTTTCTCGGCTGTGGTTTCAAAGGGTAGTTTGGACAATGAATATGCATAAATTTCGCTAAATGTCCTGTGCATGACGATACACGTAATCAGAAAGGGAATTCCCTCAACAGTAATTTTGGGATTCTCCGACATTCCGTAATATTGACAGTAGCGGGTGACCTCGCCTTGGTTCATTTCCCGACAACTTCAATCCTTAAGTAATAGAAGTAGTCCGCTTCAGTGGACATGGCTTAATTTTTTACATGCATTGGGAAATGAATGCAATAACACGTGACCAATTCCGCTAATAAGAATGCAGGAATTACAATGAACATAACGAAAATTTATGCATTTATTATCATTTCCTATTCCAGGGATGTAACAACGTCAATGACAACAAGCGAGACAACATCGGTGACCACTTCCATCACTACGAGTCGTAAGTCTCTCGTAAACAACACGACTGTCTGTGCTTTGTTGTCCATGTTAAGGATTGTAACACCAAGGTCCGATCATTGTAGATTCTGCTATTATCTGCTACATGTCAAATAACATTGAGTTTAAATCTAAAAAAACCATGTCTAAAATGAAACTATATTTCAGCAACAACCTCTCCTACTACATCGGGAACTACGTCAGTAACCACATCGCCTACCACGTCGGCAACCACATCGGCAACAACGTCTCCCACAACCTCGCCCACCACTTCACCTACCACATCAGCCACAACTTCGCAAACAATTTCGGTGACTACTTCAGCGACCACGCCTGCAACTACATCGCCAACCACGTCGCCTACCATGTCAGCAACAACTAGTGGTCAGTAAAAGCTTCCAACACTTCTGTAAAGTCAACACTTGTTTAAAGGTTAACGTGTGGCAAGACCAGAACATTGTCCTTTATGTCAATAAGCACCTCTTCAACTCTATTTCAGCAACAACCTCTCCTACTACATCGGCCACTACATCAGTAACCACATCGCCTACCACGTCGGCAACCACATCGGCAACAACGTCTCCCACAACCTCGCCCACCACTTCACCTACCACATCAGCCACAACTTCGCCAACAATCTCGGTGACTACTTCAGCGACCACGTCTGCAACTACATCGCCAACCACGTCGCCTACCACGTCAGCAACAACTAGTGGTCAGTGAAAGCTTCCAACACTTCTGTAAAGTCAACACTTGTTTAAAGGTTAACGTGTGGCAAGACCAGAACATTGTCCTTTATGTCAATAAGCACCTCTGCAACTATATTTCAGCAACAACCTCTCCTACTACATCAGCCACTACATCAGTAACCACATCGCCTACCACGTCGGCAACCACATCGGCAACAACGTCTCCCACAACCTCGCCCACCACTTCACCTACCACATCAGCCCCAACTTCGCCATTAACCTCGGTGACTACTTCAGCGACCACGTCTGCAACTACATCGCCAACCACGTCGCCAACCACGTCAGCAACAACTAGTGGTCAGTAAAAGCTCCAACACTTCTGTAAAGTCAACACGTGTTTAAAGGTTAACGTGTGGCAAGACCAGAACAAATTTCCTTTATGTCAATAAGCACCTCTTCAACTATATTTCAGCAACAACTTCTCCTACTACATCAGCCACTACATCAGTAACCACATCGCCTACCACGTCGGCAACCACATCGGCAACCACATCGGCAACAACTTCGCCAACAACCTCGGTGACTACTTCAGCGACCACGTCTGCAACTACATCGCCAACCACGTCGCCTACCACGTCAGCAACAACTAGTGGTCAGTCAAAGCTTCCAACACTTCTGTAAAGTCAACACTTGTTTAAAGGTTAACGTGTGGCAAGACTAGAACAAATTTCCTTTATGTCAATAAGCACCTCTGCAACTATATTTCAGCAACAACTTCTCATCTTACATCAGCCACTACATCAGTAACCACATCGCCTACCACGTCGGCAACCACATCGGCAACAACGTCTCCCACAACCTCGCCCACCACTTCACCTACCACATCAGCCACAACTTCGCCAACAACCTCGGTGACTACTTCAGCGACCACGTCTGCAACTACATCGCCAACCACGTCGTCTACCACGTCAGCAACAACTAGTGGTTAGTGAAAGCTTCCAACACTTCTGTAAAGTCAACACTTGTTTAAAGGTTAACGTGTGGCAAGACCAGAACATTGTCCTTTATGTCAATAAGCACCTCTACAACTATATTTCAGCAACAACTTCTCCTACTACATCAGCCACTACATCAGTAACCACATCGCCTACCACGTCGGCAACCACATCGGCAACAACGTCTCCCACAACCTCGCCCACCACTTCACCTACCACATCAGCCACAACTAGTGGTCAGTGAAAGCTTCCAACACTTCTGTAAAGTCAACACTTGTTTAAAGGTTAAGGTGTGGCAAGACCAGAACATTGTCCTTTATGTCAATAAGCACCTCTGCAACTATATTTCAGCAACAACTTCTCCTACTACATCAGCCACTACATCAGTAACCACATCGCCTACCACGTCGGCAACCACATCGGCAACAACGTCTCCCACAACCTCGCCCACCACTTCACCTACCACATCAGCCACAACTTCGCCAACAACCTCGGTGACTACTTCAGCGACCACGTCTGCAACTACATCGCCAACCACGTCGCCTACCATGTCAGCAACAACAAGTGGTCAGTAAAAGCTTCCAACAATTCTGTAAAGTCAACACGTTGTTTAAAGGTTAACGTGTGGCAAGACCAGAACATTGTCCTTTATGTCAATAAGCACCTCTGCAACTATATTTCAGCAACAACTTCTCCTACTACATCAGCCACTACATCAGTAACCACATCGCCTACCACGTCGGCAACCACATCGGCAACAACGTCTCCCACAACCTCGCCCCCAACTTCACCTACCACATCAGCCACAACTTCGCCAACAACCTCGGTGACTACTTCAGCGACCACGTCTGCAACTACATCGCCAACCACGTCGCCTACCACGTCAGCAACAACTAGTGGTCAGTAAAAGCTTCCAACACTTCTGTAAAGTCAACACTTGTTTAAAGGTTAACATGTGGCAAGACCAGAACATTGTCCTTTATGTCAATAAGCACCTCTGCAACTATATTTCAGCAACAACTTCTCCTACTACATCAGCCACTACATCAGTAACCACATCGCCTACCACGTCGGCAACCACATCGGCAACAACGTCTCCCACAACCTCGCCCACCACTTCACCTACCACATCAGCCACAACTTCGCCAACAACCTCGGTGACTACTTCAGCGACCACGTCTGCAACTACGTCGCCAACCACGTCGCCTACCACGTCAGCAACAACTAGTGGTCAGTGAAAGCTTCCAACACTTCTGTAAAGTCAACACTTGTTTAAAGGTTAACGTGTGGCAAGACCAAAACATTGTCCTTTATGTCAATAAGCACCTCTGCAACTATATTTCAGCAACAACTTCTCCTACTACATCAGCCACTACATCAGTAACCACATCGCCTACCACTTCGGCAACCACATCGGCAACAACGTCTCCCACAACCTCGCCCACCACTTCACCTACCACATCAGCCACAACTTCGCCAACAACCTCGGTGACTACTTCAGCGACCACGTCTGCAACTCCATCGCCAACCACGTCGCCTACCACGTCAGCAACAACTAGTGGTCAGTGAAAGCTTCCAACACTTCTGTAAAGTCAACACTTGTTTAAAGGTTAACGTGTGGCAAGACCAGAACATTGTCCTCTTGTGTCAATAAGCACCTCTGCAACTATATTTCAGCAACAACTTCTCCTACTACATCAGCCACTACGTCAGTAACCACATCGCCTACCACGTCGGCAACCACATCGGCAACAACGTCTCCCACAACCTCGCCCACCACTTCACCTACCACATCAGCCACAACTTCGCCAACAACCTCGGTGACTACTTCAGCGACCACGTCTGCAACTACGTCGCCAACCACGTCGCCTACCACGTCAGCAACAACTAGTGGTCAGTGAAAGCTTCCAACACTTCTGTAAAGTCAACACTTGTTTAAAGGTTAAGGTGTGGCAAGACCAGAACATTGTCCTTTATGTCAATAAGCACCTCTGCAACTATATTTCAGCAACAACTTCTCCTACTACATCAGCCACTACATCAGTAACCACATCGCCTACCACGTCGGCAACCACATCGGCAACAATGTCTCCCACAACCTCGCCCACCACTTCACCTACCACATCAGCCACAACTTCGCCAACAACCTCGGTGACTACTTCAGCGACCACGTCTGCAACTACATCGCCAACCACGTCGCCTACCATGTCAGCAACAACTAGTGGTCAGTAAAAGCTTCCAACACTTCTGTAAAGTCAACACTTGTTTAAAGGTTAACATGTGGCAAGACCAGAACATTGTCCTTTATGTCAATAAGCACCTCTGCAACTATATTTCAGCAACAACTTCTCCTACTACATCAGCCACTACATCAGTAACCACATCGCCTACCACGTCGGCAACCACATCGGCAACAACGTCTCCCACAACCTCGCCCACCACTTCACCTACCACATCAGCCACAACTTCGCCAACAACCTCGGTGACTACTTCAGCGACCACGTCTGCAACTACATCGCCAACCACGTCGCCTACCACGTCAGCAACAACTAGTGGTCAGTAAAAGCTTCAAACACTTATGTAAAGTCAACACTTGTTTAAAGGTTAACGTGTGGCAAGACCAGAACATTGTCCTTTATGTCAATAAGCACCTCTGCAACTATATTTCAGCAACAACTTCTCCTACTACATCAGCCACTACATCAGTAACCACATCGCCTACCACGTCGGCAACCACATCGGCAACAACGTCTCCCACAACCTCGCCCACCACTTCACCTACCACATCAGCCACAACTTCGCCAACAACATCGGTGACTACTTCAGCGACCACGTCTGCAACTCCATCGCCAACCACGTCGCCTACCACGTCAGCAACAACAAGTGGTCAGTGAAAGCTTCCAACACTTCTGTAAAGTGAACACTTGTTTAAAGGTTAACGTGTGGCAAGACCAGAACATTGTCCTTTATGTCAATAAGCACCTCTGCAACTATATTTCAGCAACAACTTCTCCTACTACATCAGCCACTACATCAGTAACCACATCACCTACCACGTCGGCAACCACATCGGCAACAACGTCTCCCACAACTTCGCCAACAACCTCGGTGACTTCTTCAGCGACCACGTCTGCAACTACATCGCCAACCACGTCGCCTACCACGTCGGCAACAACTAGTGGTCAGTAAAAGCTTCCAACACTTCTGTAAAGTCAACACTTGTTTAAAGGTTAACGTGTGGCAAGACTAGAACATTGTCCTTTATGTCAATAAGCACCTCTGCAACTATATTTCAGCAACAACTTCTCCTACTACATCAGCCACTACATCAGTAACCACATCGCCTACCACGTCGGCAACCACATCGGCAACAACGTCTCCCACAACCTCGCCCACCACTTCACCTACCACATCAGCCACAACTTCGCCAACAACCTCGGTGACTACTTCAGCGACCACGTCTGCAACTACATCGCCAACCACGTCGCCTACCACGTCAGCAACAACTAGTGGTCAGTGAAAGCTTCCAACACTTCTGTAAAGTCAACACTTGTTTAAAGGTTAACGTGTGGCAAGACCAGAACATTGTCCTTCATGTCAATAAGCACCTCTGCAACTATATTTCAGCAACAACTTCTCCTACTACATCAGCCACTACGTCAGTAACCACATCGCCTACCACGTCGGCAACCATATCGGCAACAACGTCTCCCACAACCTCGCCCACCACTTCACCTACCACATCAGCCACAACTTCGCCAACAACCTCGGTGACTACTTCAGCGACCACGTCTGCAACTACGTCGCCAACCACGTCGCCTACCACGTCAGCAACAACTAGTGGTCAGTGAAAGCTTCCAACACTTCTGTAAAGTCAACACTTGTTTAAAGGTTAACGTGTGGCAAGACCAGAACATTGTCCTTTATGTCAATAAGCACCTCTGCAACTATATTTCAGCAACAACTTCTCCTACTACATCAGCCACTACATCAGTAACCACATCGCCTACCACGTCGGCAACCACATCGGCAACAACGTCTCCCACAACCTCGCCCACCACTTCACCTACCACATCAGCCACAACTTCGCTAACAACCTCGGTGACTACTTCAGCGACCACGTCTGCAACTACATCGCCAACCACGTCGCCTACCATGTCAGCAACAACTAGTGGTCAGTAAAAGCTTCCAACACTTCTGTAAAGTCAACACTTGTTTAAAGGTTAACGTGTGGCAAGACCAGAACATTGTCCTTTATGTCAATAAGCACCTCTGCAACTATATTTCAGCAACAACTTCTCCTACTACATCAGCCACTACATCAGTAACCACATCGCCTACCACGTCGGCAACCACATCGGCAACAACGTCTCCCACAACCTCGCCCACCACTTCACCTACCACATCAGCCACAACTTCGCCAACAACCTCGGTGACTACTTCAGCGACCACGTCTGCAACTACATCGCCAACCACTTCGCCTACCACGTCAGCAACAACTAGTGGTCAGTGAAAGCTTCCAACACTTATGTAAAGTGAACACTTGTTTAAAGGTTAACGTGTGGCAAGACCAGAACATTGTCCTTTATGTCAATAAGCACCTCTGCAACTATATTTCAGCAACAACTTCTCCTACTACATCAGCCACTACATCAGTAACCACATCGCCTACCACGTCGGCAACCACATCGGCAACAACGTCTCCCACAACCTCGCCCCCAACTTCACCTACCACATCAGCCACAACTTCGCCAACAACCTCGGTGACTACTTCAGCGACCACGTCTGCAACTACATCGCCAACCACGTCGCCTACCACGTCAGCAACAACTAGTGGTCAGTAAAAGCTTCCAACAATTCTGTCAAGTCAACACTTGTTTAAAGGTTAACGTGTGGCAAGACCAGAACATTGTCCTTTATGTCAATAAGCACCTCTGCAACTATATTTCAGCAACAACTTCTCCTACTACATCAGCCACTACATCAGTAACCACATCGCCTACCACGTCGGCAACCACATCGGCAACAACGTCTCCCACAACCTCGCCCACCACTTCACCTACCACATCAGCCACAACTTCGCCAACAACCTCGGTGACTACTTCAGCGACCACGTCTGCAACTACATCGCCAACCACGTCGCCTACCACGTCAGCAACAACTAGTGGTCAGTGAAAGCTTCCAACACTTCTGTAAAGTCAACACTTGTTTAAAGGTTAACGTGTGGCAAGACCAGAACATTGTCCTTTATGTCAATAAGCACATCTGCAACTATATTTCAGCAACAACTTCTCCTACTACATCAGCCACTACATCAGTAACCACATCGCCTACCACGTCGGCAACCACATCGGCAACAACGTCTCCCACAACCTCGCCCACCACTTCACCTACCACATCAGCCACAACTTCGCCAACAACCTCGGTGACTACTTCAGCGACCACGTCTGCAACTACATCGCCAACCACGTCGCCTACCACGTCAGCAACAACAAGTGGTCAGTGAAAGCTTCCAACACTTCTGTAAAGTCAACACTTGTTTAAAGGTTAACGTGTGGCAAGACCAGAACATTGTCCTTTATGTCATTAAGCACCTCTGCAACTATATTTCAGCAACAACTTCTCCTACTACATCAGCCACTACGTCAGTAGCCACATCGCCTACCACGTCGGCAACCACATCGGCAACAACGTCTCCCACAACCTCGCCCACCACTTCACCTACCACATCAGCCACAACTTCGCTAACAACCTCGGTGACTACTTCAGCGACCACGTCTGCAACTACATCGCCAACCACGTCGCCTACCACGTCAGCAACAACTAGTGGTCAGTAAAAGCTTCCAACACTTCTGTAAAGTCAACACTTGTTTAAAGGTTAACGTGTGGCAAGACCAGAACATTGTCCTTTATGTCAATAAGCACCTCTGCAACTATATTTCAGCAACAACTTCTCCTACTACATCAGCCACTACATCAGTAACCACATCGCCTACCACGTCGGCAACCACATCGGCAACAATGTCTCCCACAACCTCGCCCACCACTTCACCTACCACATCAGCCACAACTTCGCCAACAACCTCGGTGACTACTTCAGCGACCACGTCTGCAACTACGTCGCCAACCACGTCGCCTACCACGTCAGCAACAACTAGTGGTCAGTGAAAGCTTCCAACACTTCTGTAAAGTCAACACTTGTTTAAAGGTTAAGGTGTGGCAAGACCAGAACATTGTCCTTTATGTCAATAAGCACATCTGCAACTATATTTCAGCAACAACTTCTCCTACTACATCAGCCACTACATCAGTAACCACATCGCCTACCACGTCGGCAACCACATCGGCAACAACGTCTCCCACAACCTCGCCCACCACTTCACCTACCACATCAGCCACAACTTCGCCAACAACCTCGGTGACTACTTCAGCGACCACGTCTGCAACTACATCGCCAACCACGTCGCCTACCACGTCAGCAACAACTAGTGGTCAGTGAAAGCTTCCAACACTTCTGTAAAGTGAACACTTGTTTAAAGGTTAAGGTGTGGCAAGACCAGAACATTGTCCTTTATGTCAATAAGCACCTATGCAACTATATTTCAGCAACAACTTCTCCTACTACATCAGCCACTACATCAGTAACCACATCGCCTACCACGTCGGCAACCACATCGGCAACAACGTCTCCCACAACCTCGCCCACCACTTCACCTACCACATCAGCCACAACTTCGCCAACAACCTCGGTGACTACTTCAGCGACCACGTCTGCAACTACATCGCCAACCACGTCGCCTACCACGTCAGCAACAACTAGTGGTCAGTGAAAGCTTCCAACACTTCTGTAAAGTCAACACTTGTTTAAAGGTTAACGTGTGGCAAGACTAGAACATTGTCCTTTATGTCAATAAGCACCTCTGCAACTATATTTCAGCAACAACTTCTCCTACTACATCAGCCACTACATCAGTAACCACATCGCCTACCACGTCGGCAACCACATCGGCAACAACGTCTCCCACAACCTCGCCCACCACTTCACCTACCACATCAGCCACAACTTCGCCAACAACCTCGGTGACTACTTCAGCGACCACGTCTGCAACTACATCGCCAACCACGTCGCCTACCACGTCAGCAACAACTAGTGGTCAGTAAAAGCTTCCAACACTTCTGTAAAGTCAACACTTGTTTAAAGGTTAACGTGTGGCAAGACCAGAACATTGTCCTTTATGTCAATAAGCACCTCTGCAACTATATTTCAGCAACAACTTCTCCTACTACATCAGCCACTAAATCAGTAACCACATCGCCTACCACGTCGGCAACCACATCGGCAACAATGTCTCCCACAACCTCGCCCACCATTTCACCTACCACATCAGCCACAACATCGCCAACAACCTCGGTGACTACTTCAGCGACCACGTCTGCAACTACATCGCCAACCACTTCGCCTACCACGTCAGCAACAACTAGTGGTCAGTGAAAGCTTCCAGCACTTCTGTAAAGTCAACACTTGTTTAAAGGTTAACGTGTGGCAAGACCAGAACATTGTCCTTTATGTCAATAAGCACCTCTGCAACTATATTTCAGCAACAACTTCTCCTACTACATCAGCCACTACATCAGTAACCACATCGCCTACCACGTCGGCAACCACATCGGCAACAACGTCTCCCACAACCTCGCCCACCACTTCACCTACCACATCAGCCACAACTTCGCCAACAACCTCGGTGACTACTTCAGCGACCACGTCTGCAACTACGTCGCCAACCACTTCGCCTACCACGTCAGCAACAACTAGTGGTCAGTGAAAGCTTCCAACACTTCTGTAAAGTCAACACTTGTTTAAAGGTTAAGGTGTGGCAAGACCAGAACATTGTCCTTTATGTCAATAAGCACCTCTGCAACTATATTTCAGCAACAACTTCTCCTACTACATCAGCCACTACATCAGTAACCACATCGCCTACCACGTCGGCAACCACATCGGCAACAACGTCTCCCACAACCTCGCCCCCAACTTCACCTACCACATCAGCCACAACTTCGCCAACAACCTCGGTGACTACTTCAGCGACCACGTCTGCAGCTACATCGCCAACCACGTCGCCTACCACGTCAGCAACAACTAGTGGTCAGTGAAAGCTTCCAACACTTCTGTAAAGTCAACACTTGTTTAAAGGTTAACGTGTGGCAAGACCAGAACATTGTCCTTTATGTCAATAAGCACCTCTGCAACTATATTTCAGCAACAACTTCTCCTACTACATCAGCCACTAAATCAGTAACCACATCGCCTACCACGTCGGCAACCACATCGGCAACAACGTCTCCCACAACCTCGCCCACCATTTCACCTACCACATCAGCCACAACATCGCCAACAACCTCGGTGACTACTTCAGCGACCACGTCTGCAACTACATCGCCAACCACGTCGCCTACCACGTCAGCAACAACTAGTGGTCAGTGAAAGCTTCCAGCACTTCTGTAAAGTCAACACTTGTTTAAAGGTTAACGTGTGGCAAGACCAGAACATTGTCCTTTATGTCAATAAGCACCTCTGCAACTATATTTCAGCAACAACTTCTCCTACTACATCAGCCACTACGTCAGTAACCACATCGCCTACCACGTCGGCAACCACATCGGCAACAACGTCTCCCACAACCTCGCCCACCACTTCACCTACCACATCAGCCACAACTTCGCCAACAACCTCGGTGACTACTTCAGCGACCACGTCTGCAAGTACGTCGCCAACCACGTCGCCTACCACGTCAGCAACAACTAGTGGTCAGTGAAAGCTTCCAACAATTCTGTAAAGTCAACACTTGTTTAAAGGTTAACGTGTGGCAAGACCAGAACATTGTCCTTTATGTCAATAAGCACCTCTGCAACTATATTTCAGCAACAACTTCTCCTACTACATCAGCCACTACATCAGTAACCACATCGGCTACCACGTCGGCAACCACATCGGCAACAACGTCTCCCACAACCTCGCCCACCACTTCACCTACCACATCAGCCACAACTTCGCTAACAACCTCGGTGACTACTTCAGCGACCACGTCTGCAACTACATCGCCAACCACGTCGCCTACCACGTCAGCAACAACTAGTGGTCAGTAAAAGCTTCCAACACTTCTGTAAAGTCAACACTTGTTTAAAGGTTAACGTGTGGCAAGACCAGAACATTGTCCTTTATGTCAATAAGCACCTCTGCAACTATATTTCAGCAACAACTTCTCCTACTACATCAGCCACTACGTCAGTAACCACATCGCCTACCACGTCGGCAACCACATCGGCAACAACGTCTCCCACAACCTCGCCCACCACTTCACCTACCACATCAGCCACAACTTCGCCAACAACCTCGGTGACTACTTCAGCGACCACGTCTGCAAGTACGTCGCCAACCACGTCGCCTACCACGTCAGCAACAACTAGTGGTCAGTGAAAGCTTCCAACACTTCTGTAAAGTCAACACTTGTTTAAAGGTTAACGTGTGGCAAGACCAGAACATTGTCCTTTATGTCAATAAGCACATCTGCAACTATATTTCAGCAACAACTTCTCCTACTACATCAGCCACTACATCAGTAACCACATCGCCTACCACGTCGGCAACCACATCGGCAACAACGTCTCCCACAACCTCGCCCACCACTTCACCTACCACATCAGCCACAACTTCGCCAACAACCTCGGTGACTACTTCAGCGACCACGTCTGCAACTACATCGCCAACCACTTCGCCTACCACGTCAGCAACAACTAGTGGTCAGTGAAAGCTTCCAACACTTCTGTAAAGTCAACACTTGTTTAAAGGTTAAGGTGTGGCAAGACCAGAACATTGTCCTTTATGTCAATAAGCACCTCTGCAACTATATTTCAGCAACAACTTCTCCTACTACATCAGCCACTACATCAGTAACCACATCGCCTACCACGTCGGCAACCACATCGGCAACAACGTCTCCCACAACCTCGCCCACCACTTCACCTACCACATCAGCCACAACTTCGCCAACAACCTCGGTGACTACTTCAGCGACCACGTCTGCAACTACATCGCCAACCACGTCGCCTACCATGTCAGCAACAACAAGTGGTCAGTAAAAGCTTCCAACAATTCTGTCAAGTCAACACTTGTTTAAAGGTTAACGTGTGGCAAGACAAGAACATTGTCCTTTATGTCAATAAGCACCTCTGCAACTATATTTCAGCAACAACTTCTCCTACTACATCAGCCACTACATCAGTAACCACATCGCCTACCACGTCGGCAACCACATCGGCAACAACGTCTCCCACAACCTCGCCCCCAACTTCACCTACCACATCAGCCACAACTTCGCCAACAACCTCGGTGACTACTTCAGCGACCACGTCTGCAACTACATCGCCAACCACGTCGCCTACCACGTCAGCAACAACTAGTGGTCAGTGAAAGCTTCCAACACTTCTGTAAAGTCAACACTTGTTTAAAGGTTAACGTGTGGCAAGACTAGAACATTGTCCTTTATGTCAATAAGCACCTCTGCAACTATATTTCAGCAACAACTTCTCCTACTACATCAGCCACTACATCAGTAACCACATCGCCTACCACGTCGGCAACCACATCGGCAACAACGTCTCCCACAACCTCGCCCACCACTTCACCTACCACATCAGCCACAACTTCGCCAACAACCTCGGTGACTACTTCAGCGACCACGTCTGCAACTACATCGCCAACCACGTCGCCTACCACGTCAGCAACAACTAGTGGTCAGTAAAAGCTTCCAACACTTCTGTAAAGTCAACACTTGTTTAAAGGTTAACGTGTGGCAAGACCAGAACATTGTCCTTTATGTCAATAAGCACCTCTGCAACTATATTTCAGCAACAACTTCTCCTACTACATCAGCCACTAAATCAGTAACCACATCGCCTACCACGTCTTCAACCACATCGGCAACAACGTCTCCCACAACCTCGCCCACCATTTCACCTACCACATCAGCCACAACATCGCCAACAACCTCGGTGACTACTTCAGCGACCACGTCTGCAACTACATCGCCAACCACGTCGCCTACCACGTCAGCAACAACTAGTGGTCAGTGAAAGCTTCCAGCACTTCTGTAAAGTCAACACTTGTTTAAAGGTTAACGTGTGGCAAGACCAGAACATTGTCCTTTATGTCAATAAGCACCTCTGCAACTATATTTCAGCAACAACTTCTCCTACTACATCAGCCACTACATCAGTAACCACATCGCCTACCACGTCGGCAACCACATCGGCAACAACGTCTCCCACAACCTCGCCCACCACTTCACCTACCACATCAGCCACAACTTCGCCAACAACCTCGGTGACTACTTCAGCGACCACGTCTGCAACTACATCGCCAACCACTTCGCCTACCACGTCAGCAACAACTAGTGGTCAGTGAAAGCTTCCAACACTTCTGTAAAGTCAACACTTGTTTAAAGGTTAACGTGTGGCAAGACCAGAACATTGTCCTTTATGTCAATAAGCACCTCTGCAACTATATTTCAGCAACAACTTCTCCTACTACATCAGCCACTACGTCAGTAACCACATCGCCTACCACGTCGGCAACCACATCGGCAACAACGTCTCCCACAACCTCGCCCACCACTTCACCTACCACATCAGCCACAACTTCGCCAACAACCTCGGTGACTACTTCAGCGACCACGTCTGCAAGTACGTCGCCAACCACGTCGCCTACCACGTCAGCAACAACTAGTGGTCAGTGAAAGCTTCCAACACTTCTGTAAAGTCAACACTTGTTTAAAGGTTAACGTGTGGCAAGACCAGAACATTGTCCTTTATGTCAATAAGCACCTCTGCAACTATATTTCAGCAACAACTTCTCCTACTACATCAGCCACTACATCAGTAACCACATCGCCTACCACGTCGGCAACCACATCGGCAACAACGTCTCCCACAACCTCGCCCCCAACTTCACCTACCACATCAGCCACAACTTCGCCAACAACCTCGGTGACTACTTCAGCGACCACGTCTGCAACTACATCGCCAACCACGTCGCCTACCACGTCAGCAACAACTAGTGGTCAGTGAAAGCTTCCAACACTTCTGTAAAGTCAACACTTGTTTAAAGGTTAACGTGTGGCAAGACTAGAACATTGTCCTTTATGTCAATAAGCACCTCTGCAACTATATTTCAGCAACAACTTCTCCTACTACATCAGCCACTACATCAGTAACCACATCGCCTACCACGTCGGCAACCACATCGGCAACAACGTCTCCCACAACCTCGCCCACCACTTCACCTACCACATCAGCCACAACTTCGCCAACAACCTCGGTGACTACTTCAGCCACAACTTCGCCAACAACCTCGGTGACTACTTCAGCGACCACGTCTGCAACTACATCGCCAACCACGTCGCCTACCACGTCAGCAACAACTAGTGGTCAGTAAAAGCTTACAACACTTCTGTAAAGTCAACACTTGTTTAAAGGTTAACGTGTGGCAAGACCAGAACATTGTCCTTTATGTCAATAAGCACCTCTGCAACTATATTTCAGCAACAACTTCTCCTACTACATCAGCCACTAAATCAGTAACCACATCGCCTACCAAGTCGGCAACCACATCGGCAACAACGTCTCCCACAACCTCGCCCACCATTTCACCTACCACATCAGCCACAACATCGGCAACAACCTCGGCGACTACTTCAGCGACCACGTCTGCAACTACATCGCCAACCACGTCGCCTACCACGTCAGCAACAACTAGTGGTCAGTGAAAGCTTCCAGCACTTCTGTAAAGTCAACACTTGTTTAAAGGTTAACGTGTGGCAAGACCAGAACATTGTCCTTTATGTCAATAAGCACCTCTGCAACTATATTTCAGCAACAACTTCTCCTACTACATCAGCCACTACATCAGTAACCACATCGCCTACCACGTCGGCAACCACATCGGCAACAACGTCTCCCACAACCTCGCCCACCACTTCACCTACCACATCAGCCACAACTTCGCCAACAACCTCGGTGACTACTTCAGCGACCACGTCTGCAACTACGTCGCCAACCACTTCGCCTACCACGTCAGCAACAACTAGTGGTCAGTGAAAGCTTCCAACACTTCTGTAAAGTCAACACTTGTTTAAAGGTTAACGTGTGGCAAGACCAGAACATTGTCCTTTATGTCAATAAGCACCTCTGCAACTATATTTCAGCAACAACTTCTCCTACTACATCAGCCACTACGTCAGTAACCACATCGCCTACCACGTCGGCAACCACATCGGCAACAACGTCTCCCACAACCTCGCCCACCACTTCACCTACCACATCAGCCACAACTTCGCCAACAACCTCGGTGACTACTTCAGCGACCACGTCTGCAACTACGTCGCCAACCACGTCGCCTACCACGTCAGCAACAACTAGTGGTCAGTGAAAGCTTCCAACAATTCTGTAAAGTCAACACTTGTTTAAAGGTTAACGTGTGGCAAGACCAGAACATTGTCCTTTATGTCAATAAGCACCTCTGCAACTATATTTCAGCAACAACTTCTCCTACTACATCAGCCACTACATCAGTAACCACATCGCCTACCACGTCGGCAACCACATCGGCAACAATGTCTCCCACAACCTCGCCCACCACTTCACCTACCACATCAGCCACAACTTCGCCAACAACCTCGGTGACTACTTCAGCGACCACGTCTGCAACTACATCGCCAACCACGTCGCCTACCACGTCAGCAACAACTAGTGGTCAGTGAAAGCTTCCAGCACTTCTGTAAAGTCAACACTTGTTTAAAGGTTAACGTGTGGCAAGACCAGAACATTGTCCTTTATGTCAATAAGCACCTCTGCAACTATATTTCAGCAACAACTTCTCCTACTACATCAGCCACTACATCAGTAACCACATCGCCTACCACGTCGGCAACCACATCGGCAACAACGTCTCCCACAACCTCGCCCACCACTTCACCTACCACATCAGCCACAACTTCGCCAACAACCTCGGTGACTACTTCAGCGACCACGTCTGCAACTACATCGCCAACCACTTCGCCTACCACGTCAGCAACAACTAGTGGTCAGTGAAAGCTTCCAACACTTCTGTAAAGTCAACACTTGTTTAAAGGTTAACGTGTGGCAAGACCAGAACATTGTCCTTTATGTCAATAAGCACCTCTGCAACTATATTTCAGCAACAACTTCTCCTACTACATCAGCCACTACGTCAGTAACAACATCGCCTACCACGTCGGCAACCACATCGGCAACAACGTCTCCCACAACCTCGCCCACCACTTCACCTACCACATCAGCCACAACTTCGCTAACAACCTCGGTGACTACTTCAGCGACCACGTCTGCAACTACATCGCCAACCACGTCGCCTACCACGTCAGCAACAACTAGTGGTCAGTAAAAGCTTCCAACACTTCTGTAAAGTCAACACTTGTTTAAAGGTTAACGTGTGGCAAGACCAGAACATTGTCCTTTATGTCAATAAGCACCTCTGCAACTATATTTCAGCAACAACTTCTCCTACTACATCAGCCACTACGTCAGTAACCACATCGCCTACCACGTCGGCAACCACATCGGCAACAACGTCTCCCACAACCTCGCCCACCACTTCACCTACCACATCAGCCACAACTTCGCCAACAACCTCGGTGACTACTTCAGCGACCACGTCTGCAACTACGTCGCCAACCACGTCGCCTACCACGTCAGCAACAACTAGTGGTCAGTGAAAGCTTCCAACAATTCTGTAAAGTCAACACTTGTTTAAAGGTTAACGTGTGGCAAGACCAGAACATTGTCCTTTATGTCAATAAGCACCTCTGCAACTATATTTCAGCAACAACTTCTCCTACTACATCAGCCACTACATCAGTAACCACATCGCCTACCACGTCGGCAACCACATCGGCAACAATGTCTCCCACAACCTCGCCCACCACTTCACCTACCACATCAGCCACAACTTCGCCAACAACCTCGGTGACTACTTCAGCGACCACGTCTGCAACTACATCGCCAACCACGTCGCCTACCACGTCAGCAACAACTAGTGGTCAGTGAAAGCTTCCAACACTTCTGTAAAGTCAACACTTGTTTAAAGGTTAACGTGTTGCAAGACCAGAACATTGTCCTTTATGTCAATAAGCACCTCTGCAACTATATTTCAGCAACAACTTCTCCTACTACATCAGCCACTACATCAGTAACCACATCGCCTACCACGTCGGCAACCACATCGGCAACAATGTCTCCCACAACCTCGCCCACCACTTCACCTACCACATCAGCCACAACTTCGCCAACAACCTCGGTGACTACTTCAGCGACCACGTCTGCAACTACATCGCCAACCACGTCGCCTACCACGTCAGCAACAACTAGTGGTCAGTAAAAGCTTCCAACACTTCTGTAAAGTCAACACTTGTTTAAAGGTTAACGTGTGGCAAGACCAGAACATTGTCCTTTATGTCAATAAGCACCTCTGCAACTATATTTCAGCAACAACTTCTCCTACTACATCAGCCACTACATCAGTAACCACATCGCCTACCACGTCGGCAACCACATCGGCAACAACGTCTCCCACAACCTCGCCCACCACTTCACCTACCACATCAGCCACAACTTCGCCAACAACCTCGGTGACTACTTCAGCGACCACGTCTGCAACTACGTCGCCAACCACGTCGCCTACCACGTCAGCAACAACTAGTGGTCTGTGAAAGCTTCCAACACTTCTGTAAAGTCAACACTTGTTTAAAGGTTAACGTGTGGCAAGACCAGAACATTGTCCTTTATGTCAATAAGCACCTCTGCAACTATATTTCAGCAACAACTTCTCCTACTACATCAGCCACTACATCAGTAACCACATCGCCTACCACGTCGGCAACCACATCGACAACAACGTCTCCCACAACCTCGCCCACCACTTCACCTACCACATCAGCCACAACTTCGCCAACAACCTCGGTGACTACTTCAGCGACCACGTCTGCAACTACATCGCCAACCACGTCGCCTACCACGTCAGCAACAACTAGTGGTCAGTGAAAGCTTCCAACACTTCTGTAAAGTCAACACTTGTTTAAAGGTTAACGTGTGGCAAGACCAGAACATTGTCCTTTATGTCAATAAGCACCTCTGCAACTATATTTCAGCAACAACTTCTCCTACTACATCAGCCACTACGTCAGTAACCACATCGCCTACCACGTCGGCAACCACATCGGCAACAACGTCTCCCACAACCTCGCCCACCACTTCACCTACCACATCAGCCACAACTTCGCCAACAACCTCGGTGACTACTTCAGCGACCACGTCTGCAACTACGTCGCCAACCACGTCGCCTACCAAGTCAGCAACAACTAGTGGTCTGTGAAAGCTTCCAACACTTCTGTAAAGTCAACACTTGTTTAAAGGTTAACGTGTGGCAAGACTAGAACATTGTCCTTTATGTCAATAAGCACCTCTGCAACTATATTACAGCAACAACTTCTCCTACTACATCAGCCACTACATCAGTAACCACATCGCCTACCACGTCGGCAACCACATCGGCAACAACGTCTCCCACAACCTCGCCCACCACTTCACCTACCACATCAGCCACAACTTCGCCAACAACCTCGGTGACTACTTCAGCGACCACGTCTGCAACTACATCGCCAACCACGTCGCCTACCACGTCAGCAACAACTAGTGGTCAGTAAAAGCTTCCAACACTTCTGTAAAGTCAACACTTGTTTAAAGGTTAACGTGTGGCAAGACCAGAACATTGTCCTTTATGTCAATAAGCACCTCTGCAACTATATTTCAGCAACAACTTCTCCTACTACATCAGCCACTACATCAGTAACCACATCGCCTACCACGTCGGCAACCACATCGGCAACAACGTCTCCCACAACCTCGCCCACCACTTCACCTACCACATCAGCCACAACTTCGCCAACAACCTCGGTGACTACTTCAGCGACCACGTCTGCAACTACATCGCCAACCACGTCGCCTACCACGTCAGCAACAACTAGTGGTCAGTGAAAGCTTCCAACACTTCTTTAAAGTCAACACTTGTTTAAAGGTTAACGTGTGGCAAGACTAGAACATTGTCCTTTATGTCAATAAGCACCTCTGCAACTATATTTCAGCAACAACTTCTCCTACTACATCAGCCACTACATCAGTAACCACAACGCCTACCACGTCGGCAACCACATCGGCAACAACGTCTCCCACAACCTCGCCCACCACTTCACCTACCACATCAGCCACAACTTCGCCAACAACCTCGGTGACTACTTCAGCGACCACGTCTGCAACTACATCGCCATCCACGTCGCCTACCACGTCAGCAACAACTAATGGTCAGTAAAAGCTTCCAACACTTCTTTAAAGTCAACACTTGTTTAAAGGTTAACGTGTGGCAAGACCAGAACATTGTCCTATTCGCCTACTATGTCAGCAACAACTAGTGGTCAGTAAAAGCTTCCAACACTTCTGTAAAGTCAACACTTGTTTAAAGGTTAACGTGTGGCAAGACCAGAACATTGTCCTTTATGTCAATAAGCACCTCTGCAACTATATTTCAGCAACAACTTCTCCTACTACATCAGCCACTACATCAGTAACCACATCGCCTACCACGTCGGCAACCACATCGGCAACAATGTCTCCCACAACCTCGCCCACCACTTCACCTACCACATCAGCCACAACTTCGCCAACAACCTCGGTGACTACTTCAGCGACCACGTCTGCAACTACATCGCCAACCACGTCGCCTACCACGTCAGCAACAACTAGTGGTCAGTGAAAGCTTCCAACACTTCTGTAAAGTCAACACTTGTTTAAAGGTTAACGTGTGGCAAGACCAGAACATTGTCCTTTATGTCAATAAGCACATCTGCAACTATATTTCAGCAACAACTTCTCCTACTACATCAGCCACTACATCAGTAACCACATCGCCTACCACGTCGGCAACCACATCGGCAACAATGTCTCCCACAACCTCGCCCACCACTTCACCTACCACATCAGCCACAACTTCGCCAACAACCTCGGTGACTACTTCAGCGACCACGTCTGCAACTACGTCGCCAACCACGTCGCCTACCACGTCAGCAACAACTAGTGGTCAGTGAAAGCTTCCAACACTTCTTTAAAGTCAACACGTGTTTAAAGGTTAACGTGTGGCAAGACCAGAACATTGTCCTTTATGTCAATAAGCACCTCTGCAACTATATTTCAGCAACAACTTCTCATTCTACATCAGCCACTGCATCAGTAACCACATCGCCTACCACGTCGGCAACCACATCGGCAACAACGTCTCCCACAACCTCGCCCACCACTTCACCTACCACATCAGCCACAACTTCGCCAACAACCTCGGTGACTACTTCAGCGACCACGTCTGCAACTACATCGCCAACCACGTCGCCTACCACGTCAGCAACAACTAGTGGTCAGTGAAAGCTTCCAACACTTCTGTAAAGTCAACACTTGTTTAAAGGTTAACGTGTGGCAAGACCAGAACATTGTCCTTTATGTCAATAAGCACCTCTGCAACTATATTTCAGCAACAACTTCTCCTACTACATCAGCCACTACATCAGTAACCACATCGCCTATCACGTCGGCAACCACATCGGCAACAATGTCTCCCACAACCTCGCCCACCACTTCACCTACCACATCAGCCACAACTTCGCCAACAACCTCGGTGACTACTTCAGCGACCACGTCTGCAACTACATCGCCAACCACGTCGCCTACCACGTCAGCAACAACTAGTGGTCAGTAAAAGCTTCCAACACTTCTGTAAAGTCAACACTTGTTTAAAGGTTAACGTGTGGCAAGACCAGAACATTGTCCTTTATGTCAATAAGCACCTCTGCAACTATATTTCAGCAACAACTTCTCCTACTACATCAGCCACTACATCAGTAACCACATCGCCTACCACGTCGGCAACCACATCGGCAACAACGTCTCCCACAACCTCGCCCACCACTTCACCTACCACATCAGCCACAACTTCGCCAACAACCTCGGTGACTACTTCAGCGACCACGTCTGCAACTACGTCGCCAACCACGTCGCCTACCACGTCAGCAACAACTAGTGGTCAGTGAAAGCTTCCAACACTTCTGTAAAGTCAACACTTGTTTAAAGGTTAACGTGTGGCAAGACCAGAACATTGTCCTTTATGTCAATAAGCACCTCTGCAACTATATTTCAGCAACAACTTCTCCTACTACATCAGCCACTACGTCAGTAACCACATCGCCTACCACGTCTTCAACCACATCGGCAACAACGTCTCCCACAACCTCGCCCACCACTTCACCTACCACATCAGCCACAACTTCGCCAACAACCTCGGTGACTACTTCAGCGACCACGTCTGCAACTACGTCGCCAACCACGTCGCCTACCACGTCAGCAACAACTAGTGGTCAGTGAAAGCTTCCAACACTTCTGTAAAGTCAACACTTGTTTAAAGGTTAACGTGTGGGAAGACCAGAACATTGTCCTTTATGTCAATAAGCACCTCTGCAACTATATTTCAGCAACAACTTCTCCTACAACATCAGCCACTACATCAGTAACCACATCGCCTACCACGTCGGCAACCACATCGGCAACAACGTCTCCCACAACCTCGCCCACCACTTCACCTACCACATCAGCCACAACTTCGCCAACAACCTCGGTGACTACTTCAGCGACCACGTCTGCAACTACGTCGCCAACCACGTCGCCTACCACGTCAGCAACAACTAGTGGTCAGTGAAAGCTTCCAACACTTCTGTAAAGTCAACACGTGTTTAAAGGTTAACGTGTGGCAAGACCAGAACATTGTCCTTTATGTCAATAAGCACCTCTGCAACTATATTTCAGCAACAACCTCTCCTACTACATCAGCCACTACATCAGTAACCACATCGCCTACCACGTCGGCAACAACATCGGTAACAACGTCTCCCACAACCTCGCCCACCACTTCACCTACCACATCAGCCACAACTTCGCCAACAACCTCGGTGACTACTTCAGCGACCACGTCTGCAACTACGTCGCCAACCACGTCAGCAACAACTAGTGGTCAGTAAAAGCTTCCAACACTTCTTTAAAGTCAACACTTGTTTAAAGGTTAACGTGTGGCAAGACCAGAACATGTCCATCATGTCAATAAGCACCTCTGCAACTATATTTCAGCAACAACCTCTCCTACTACATCAGCCACTACATCAGTAACCACATCGCCTACCACGTCGGCAACCACTTCAGGAACAACGTCTCCCACAACCTCTCCCACCACTTCACCTACCACATCAGCCACAACTTCGGTGACTACTTCAGCGACCACGTCTGCAACTACATCGCCAACTACGTCGCCTACCACGTCAGCAACAACTAGTGGTCAGTAAAAGTTTTCAAAATTTGTTTACAGCCAATATTTGTGTTAAGTTTTTTATCATACGTGCAGGTGAGAATGATGAGGTCTGATTGGTCCACGTGATGTTCGTAAAAATGCCCGTATATTCCGCCTTGGAGAGGAGTAAATCGCTTATACTCATCAACGAGCTAGTCCGGCTGCTCGTGGGTTTCTGACAGGCAGAATAAATCCCTTAAAACCCGCTTCATAGCGAAAAGCCTCTACGAGGTGTTGAATGTTGTAACCTTGATCAAACAATTTGTTCAGCAAGAGTCGTATGACGCTCTTGAAATCTTCGTAGAAAGAGCATGCTCGATTCTACCTAACAAAATTTGGAAATGTAGACACCAAAAGCTGGAGCTGCTGAAATATTGCTCGACATAAAGGGAAAGCTGACTATTGGAAAGTCACCCCACTTGTCTTGTGGAGAGCTTTGTGTCTCTCTGGATCTTCATGCACAGATCTAAATAAGAATCAGATGGGCAAACTCACTGGTCTGCTTTATGTCTCGTTCAGGTGGGTAAGTCAGAGGAAGGGAAGTGGCTACTTAAATTATTGAACCTTGTTCCTTGAATTTGCACAGTTTATCAACATAATTTCCACACTTCATTTCAGCAACTTCAGCCACAACGACCTTACCACAGGTTTCCTACACCTGTGTCGTGGAATGTCCAGCTGAGGGGACTGTCAACGTTGTGATCTGCGGGACTCTTTGTGTTACTGCATGTTCCAATGGGGTGATCACAAGCCAGTTGTGCTTTACATCAGTAACCACATCGCCTACCACGTCGGCAACCACATCGGCAACAACGTCTCCCACAACCTCGCCCACCACTTCACCTACCACATCAGCCACAACTTCGCCAACAACCTCGGTGACTACTTCAGCGACCACGTCTGCAACTACGTCGCCAACCACGTCGCCTACCACGTCAGCAACAACTAGTGGTCAGTGAAAGCTTCCAACACTTCTGTAAAGTCAACACTTGTTTAAAGGTTAACGTGTGGCAAGACCAGAACATTGTCCTTTATGTAAATAAGCACCTCTGCAACTATATTTCAGCAACAACTTCTCCTACTACATCAGCCACTACGTCAGTAACCACATCGCCTACCACGTCTTCAACCACATCGGCAACAACGTCTCCCACAACCTCGCCCACCACTTCACCTACCACATCAGCCACAACTTCGCCAACAACCTCGGTGACTACTTCAGCGACCACGTCTGCAACTACGTCGCCAACCACGTCGCCTACCACGTCAGCAACAACTAGTGGTCAGTGAAAGCTTCCAACACTTCTGTAAAGTCAACACTTGTTTAAAGGTTAACGTGTGGGAAGACCAGAACATTGTCCTTTATGTCAATAAGCACCTCTGCAACTATATTTCAGCAACAACTTCTCCTACTACATCAGCCACTACATCAGTAACCACATCGCCTACCACGTCGGCAACCACATCGGCAACAACGTCTCCCACAACCTCGCCCACCACTTCACCTACCACATCAGCCACAACTTCGCCAACAACCTCGGTGACTACTTCAGCGACCACGTCTGCAACTACGTCGCCAACCACGTCGCCTACCACGTCAGCAACAACTAGTGGTCAGTAAAAGCTTCCAACACTTCTGTAAAGTCAACACTTGTTTAAAGGTTAACGTGTGGCAAGACAAGAACATTGTCCTTTATGTCAATAAGCACCTCTGCAACTATATTTCAGCAACAACTTCTCCTACTACATCAGCCACTACATCAGTAACCACATCGCCTACCACGTCGGCAACCACATCGGCAACAACGTCTCCCACAACCTCGCCCACCACTTCACCTACCACATCAGCCACAACTTCGCCAACAACCTCGGTGACTACTTCAGCGACCACGTCTGCAAATACGTCGCCAACCACGTCGCCTACCACGTCAGCAACAACTAGTGGTCAGTGAAAGCTTCCAACACTTCTGTAAAGTCAACACTTGTTTAAAGGTTAACGTGTGGGAAGACCAGAACATTGTCCTTTATGTCAATAAGCACCTCTGCAACTATATTTCAGCAACAACTTCTCCTACAACATCAGCCACTACATCAGTAACCACATCGCCTACCACGTCGGCAACCACATCGGCAACAACGTCTCCCACAACCTCGCCCACCACTTCACCTACCACATCAGCCACAACTTCGCCAACAACCTCGGTGACTACTTCAGCGACCACGTCTGCAACTACGTCGCCAACCACGTCGCCTACCACGTCAGCAACAACTAGTGGTCAGTGAAAGCTTCCAACACTTCTGTAAAGTCAACACGTGTTTAAAGGTTAACGTGTGGCAAGACCAGAACATTGTCCTTTATGTCAATAAGCACCTCTGCAACTATATTTCAGCAACAACCTCTCCTACTACATCAGCCACTACATCAGTAACCACATCGCCTACCACGTCGGCAACAACATCGGTAACAACGTCTCCCACAACCTCGCCCACCACTTCACCTACCACATCAGCCACAACTTCGCCAACAACCTCGGTGACTACTTCAGCGACCACGTCTGCAACTACGTCGCCAACCACGTCAGCAACAACTAGTGGTCAGTAAAAGCTTCCAACACTTCTTTAAAGTCAACACTTGTTTAAAGGTTAACGTGTGGCAAGACCAGAACATGTCCATCATGTCAATAAGCACCTCTGCAACTATATTTCAGCAACAACCTCTCCTACTACATCAGCCACTACATCAGTAACCACATCGCCTACCACGTCGGCAACCACTTCAGGAACAACGTCTCCCACAACCTCTCCCACCACTTCACCTACCACATCAGCCACAACTTCGGTGACTACTTCAGCGACCACGTCTGCAACTACATCGCCAACTACGTCGCCTACCACGTCAGCAACAACTAGTGGTCAGTAAAAGTTTTCAAAATTTGTTTACAGCCAATATTTGTGTTAAGTTTTTTATCATACGTGCAGGTGAGAATGATGAGGTCTGATTGGTCCACGTGATGTTCGTAAAAATGCCCGTATATTCCGCCTTGGAGAGGAGTAAATCGCTTATACTCATCAACGAGCTAGTCCGGCTGCTCGTGGGTTTCTGACAGGCAGAATAAATCCCTTAAAACCCGCTTCATAGCGAAAAGCCTCTACGAGGTGTTGAATGTTGTAACCTTGATCAAACAATTTGTTCAGCAAGAGTCGTATGACGCTCTTGAAATCTTCGTAGAAAGAGCATGCTCGATTCTACCTAACAAAATTTGGAAATGTAGACACCAAAAGCTGGAGCTGCTGAAATATTGCTCGACATAAAGGGAAAGCTGACTATTGGAAAGTCACCCCACTTGTCTTGTGGAGAGCTTTGTGTCTCTCTGGATCTTCATGCACAGATCTAAATAAGAATCAGATGGGCAAACTCACTGGTCTGCTTTATGTCTCGTTCAGGTGGGTAAGTCAGAGGAAGGGAAGTGGCTACTTAAATTATTGAACCTTGTTCCTTGAATTTGCACAGTTTATCAACATAATTTCCACACTTCATTTCAGCAACTTCAGCCACAACGACCTTACCACAGGTTTCCTACACCTGTGTCGTGGAATGTCCAGCTGAGGGGACTGTCAACGTTGTGATCTGCGGGACTCTTTGTGTTACTGCATGTTCCAATGGGGTGATCACAAGCCAGTTGTGCTTTACATCAGTAACCACATCGCCTACCACGTCGGCAACCACATCGGCAACAACGTCTCCCACAACCTCGCCCACCACTTCACCTACCACATCAGCCACAACTTCGCCAACAACCTCGGTGACTACTTCAGCGACCACGTCTGCAACTACGTCGCCAACCACGTCGCCTACCACGTCAGCAACAACTAGTGGTCAGTGAAAGCTTCCAACACTTCTGTAAAGTCAACACTTGTTTAAAGGTTAACGTGTGGCAAGACCAGAACATTGTCCTTTATGTAAATAAGCACCTCTGCAACTATATTTCAGCAACAACTTCTCCTACTACATCAGCCACTACGTCAGTAACCACATCGCCTACCACGTCTTCAACCACATCGGCAACAACGTCTCCCACAACCTCGCCCACCACTTCACCTACCACATCAGCCACAACTTCGCCAACAACCTCGGTGACTACTTCAGCGACCACGTCTGCAACTACGTCGCCAACCACGTCGCCTACCACGTCAGCAACAACTAGTGGTCAGTGAAAGCTTCCAACACTTCTGTAAAGTCAACACTTGTTTAAAGGTTAACGTGTGGGAAGACCAGAACATTGTCCTTTATGTCAATAAGCACCTCTGCAACTATATTTCAGCAACAACTTCTCCTACTACATCAGCCACTACATCAGTAACCACATCGCCTACCACGTCGGCAACCACATCGGCAACAACGTCTCCCACAACCTCGCCCACCACTTCACCTACCACATCAGCCACAACTTCGCCAACAACCTCGGTGACTACTTCAGCGACCACGTCTGCAACTACGTCGCCAACCACGTCGCCTACCACGTCAGCAACAACTAGTGGTCAGTAAAAGCTTCCAACACTTCTGTAAAGTCAACACTTGTTTAAAGGTTAACGTGTGGCAAGACAAGAACATTGTCCTTTATGTCAATAAGCACCTCTGCAACTATATTTCAGCAACAACTTCTCCTACTACATCAGCCACTACATCAGTAACCACATCGCCTACCACGTCGGCAACCACATCGGCAACAACGTCTCCCACAACCTCGCCCACCACTTCACCTACCACATCAGCCACAACTTCGCCAACAACCTCGGTGACTACTTCAGCGACCACGTCTGCAAATACGTCGCCAACCACGTCGCCTACCACGTCAGCAACAACTAGTGGTCAGTGAAAGCTTCCAACACTTCTGTAAAGTCAACACTTGTTTAAAGGTTAACGTGTGGCAAGACCAGAACATTGTCCTTTATGTCAATAAGCACCTCTGCAACTATATTTCAGCAACAACTTCTCCTACAACATCAGCCACTACATCAGTAACCACATCGCCTACCACGTCGGCAACCACATCGGCAACAACGTCTCCCACAACCTCGCCCACCACTTCACCTACCACATCAGCCACAACTTCGCCAACAACCTCGGTGACTACTTCAGCGACCACGTCTGCAACTACGTCGCCAACCACGTCGCCTACCACGTCAGCAACAACTAGTGGTCAGTGAAAGCTTCCAACACTTCTGTAAAGTCAACACGTGTTTAAAGGTTAACGTGTGGCAAGACCAGAACATTGTCCTTTATGTCAATAAGCACCTCTGCAACTATATTTCAGCAACAACCTCTCCTACTACATCAGCCACTACATCAGTAACCACATCGCCTACCACGTCGGCAACAACATCGGTAACAACGTCTCCCACAACCTCGCCCACCACTTCACCTACCACATCAGCCACAACTTCGCCAACAACCTCGGTGACTACTTCAGCGACCACGTCTGCAACTACGTCGCCAACCACGTCAGCAACAACTAGTGGTCAGTAAAAGCTTCCAACACTTCTTTAAAGTCAACACTTGTTTAAAGGTTAACGTGTGGCAAGACCAGAACATGTCCATCATGTCAATAAGCACCTCTGCAACTATATTTCAGCAACAACCTCTCCTACTACATCAGCCACTACATCAGTAACCACATCGCCTACCACGTCGGCAACCACTTCAGGAACAACGTCTCCCACAACCTCTCCCACCACTTCACCTACCACATCAGCCACAACTTCGGTGACTACTTCAGCGACCACGTCTGCAACTACATCGCCAACTACGTCGCCTACCACGTCAGCAACAACTAGTGGTCAGTAAAAGTTTTCAAAATTTGTTTACAGCCAATATTTGTGTTAAGTTTTTTATCATACGTGCAGGTGAGAATGATGAGGTCTGATTGGTCCACGTGATGTTCGTAAAAATGCCCGTATATTCCGCCTTGGAGAGGAGTAAATCGCTTATACTCATCAACGAGCTAGTCCGGCTGCTCGTGGGTTTCTGACAGGCAGAATAAATCCCTTAAAACCCGCTTCATAGCGAAAAGCCTCTACGAGGTGTTGAATGTTGTAACCTTGATCAAACAATTTGTTCAGCAAGAGTCGTATGACGCTCTTGAAATCTTCGTAGAAAGAGCATGCTCGATTCTACCTAACAAAATTTGGAAATGTAGACACCAAAAGCTGGAGCTGCTGAAATATTGCTCGACATAAAGGGAAAGCTGACTATTGGAAAGTCACCCCACTTGTCTTGTGGAGAGCTTTGTGTCTCTCTGGATCTTCATGCACAGATCTAAATAAGAATCAGATGGGCAAACTCACTGGTCTGCTTTATGTCTCGTTCAGGTGGGTAAGTCAGAGGAAGGGAAGTGGCTACTTAAATTATTGAACCTTGTTCCTTGAATTTGCACAGTTTATCAACATAATTTCCACACTTCATTTCAGCAACTTCAGCCACAACGACCTTACCACAGGTTTCCTACACCTGTGTCGTGGAATGTCCAGCTGAGGGGACTGTCAACGTTGTGATCTGCGGGACTCTTTGTGTTACTGCATGTTCCAATGGGGTGATCACAAGCCAGTTGTGCTTTACATCAGTAACCACATCGCCTACCACGTCGGCAACCACATCGGCAACAACGTCTCCCACAACCTCGCCCACCACTTCACCTACCACATCAGCCACAACTTCGCCAACAACCTCGGTGACTACTTCAGCGACCACGTCTGCAACTACATCGCCAACCACGTCGCCTACCGCGTCAGCAACAACTAGTGGTCAGTAAAAGCTTCCAACACTTCTGTAAAGTCAACACTTGTTTAAAGGTTAAGGTGTGGCAAGACCAAAACATTGTCCTTTATGTCAATAAGCACCTCTGCAACTATATTTCAGCAACAACCTCTCCTACTACATCAGCCACTACATCAGTAACCACATCGCCTACCACGTCGGTAACCACATCGGCAACAACGTCTCCCACAACCTCGCCCACCACTTCACCTACCAAATCAGCCACAACTTCGCCAACAACCTCGGTGACTACTTCAGCGACCACGTCTGCAACTACGTCGCCAACCACGTCGCCTACCACGTCAGCAACAACTAGTGGTCAGTAAAAGCTTCCAACACTTCTGTAAAGTCAACACTTGTTTAAAGGTTAACGTGTGGGAAGACCAGAACATGTCCATCATGTCAATAAGCACCTCTGCAACTATATTTCAGCAACAACCTCTCCTACTACATCAGCCACTACATCAGTAACCACATCGCCTACCACGTCGGCAACCACTTCAGGAACAACGTCTCCCACAACCTCTCCCACCACTTCACCTACCACATCAGCCACAACTTCGGTGACTACTTCAGCGACCACGTCTGCAACTACATCGCCAACTACGTCGCCTACCACGTCAGCAACAACTAGTGGTCAGTAAAAGTTTTCAAAATTTGTTTACAGCCAATATTTGTGTTAAGTTTTTTATCATACGTGCATATGAGAATGATGAGGTCTGATTGGTCCACGTGATGTTCGTAAAAATGCCCGTATATTCCGCCTTGGAGAGGAGTAAATCGCTTATACTCATCAACGAGCTAGTCCGGCTGCTCGTGGGTTTCTGACAGGCAGAATAAATCCCTTAAAACCCGCTTCATAGCGAAAAGCCTCTACGAGGTGTTGAATGTTGTAACCTTGATCAAACAATTTGTTCAGCAAGAGTCGTATGACGCTCTTGAAATCTTCGTAGAAAGAGCATGCTCGATTCTACCTAACAAAATTTGGAAATGTAGACACCAAAAGCTGGAGCTGCTGAAATATTGCTCGACATAAAGGGAAAGCTGACTATTGGAAAGTCACCCCACTTGTCTTGTGGAGAGCTTTGTGTCTCTCTGGATCTTCATGCACAGATCTAAATAAGAATCAGATGGGCAAACTCACTGGTCTGCTTTATGTCTCGTTCAGGTGGGTAAGTCAGAGGAAGGGAAGTGGCTACTTAAATTATTGAACCTTGTTCCTTGAATTTGCACAGTTTATCAACATAATTTCGACACTTCATTTCAGCAACTTCAGCCACAACGACCTTACCACAGGTTTCCTTCACCTGTGTCGCGGAATGTCCAGCTGAGGGGACTGTCAACGTTGTGATCTGCGGGACTCTTTGTGTTACTGCATGTTCCAATGGGGAGATCACAAGCCAGTTGTGCTTTACGGGCCGCTGACAGCTTTCCCTCTACATTATCTACGTATTAATGCGATCTTTCTTTATAACACACACTATACGATTTTTTATCTCTCCTAGTTTAGACTAAATACGCCTTATAGCATGTGGCAATTTATGCGTGTAAGGAATTGAGTGTCTCCAGCTACCAAATACATTCCAATACACACACACGAGGGCTGGTGAAAAAGTTCTAAGCCTAACCAAAAAATCCAACAATTGTGAAAGTGTTTTTAATTATATTTTTCAACATAATCTTCCTGCTTTTCAATACACTTCTGATATCGATAGTGAAGCTTTTCAATTCCAGCCAGGAAGGCATTCTCTGAAGCCACCCTGAAATACCCACTCGCTCAGCTTTGAAGTCAATCTTGTCGTCATAGCGCTTTCCTCGAAGGTGTTCTTTCAGTTTGGGAAACAGGTTGAAATCACTTGGTGCCAGGTCTGGAGAGTATGGAGGGTGAGGAGGCTCTTCAAACCTTCATTGTCGCACAGCAGCCTTTGCAAGTTGAGAGGTGTGAGAAGAAGCATCGTCATGAAGTTGTAGAACTCCAGCAGTCAGCATTCCTCGCCATTTTGTTTTGATATAATATCTCAGGCGATGAAGCAAATCAGCATGCTAGGCACCGGTAAACAACAAGGGTCACACCATCGCATCCAAGATCACGTTGTGATCTGCGGGACTCTTTGTGTTACTGCATGTTCCAATGGGGTGATCACAAGCCAGTTGTGCTTTACGGGCCGCTGACAGCTTTCCCTCTACATTACAGTGGCCATAACTTTCTTCACTGATCTTGAAGACTTACCATTCCATGGTTTGACATTTTGACTTGGGATCATAGTGGTAGACCAATGTTTTATCACCCTTTACTCTTTTTGAATTTGACGAAATCCTCCTTAAATGACTCTAAATTATCTCTAGCAGTGTAAGTTCTTTTTTCCTTAAGATCAGAATTTAGACACTTTAGCACCCAACGAGCAGATGTCGTATTCATCTGTAAATGCATATGAATAATAGTTTCAATGGATCCATGGCTTATACCTGTGTCTTCCTCAAGTTCAGCAATACGTCTATCTGACAGTATAAGTTTTTCTATCTCCTTGATTGAATCTTCATTGATGGAAGTAGAACACAGACACCCAGTGCTTCGGTCATCATCAAGGCGCGTTCTCCCAGCCTTACATATAGCTGCCGAACGTTCAGCAGTGGAATAGCTAGGGCACTAATCCCAACACACTAGACACATGAATTTCTCGAGGAGTACTTTTCTCTAAAGTCAAAAACTTGATGACTGCTCGGTTCTCGTTCTTTTCCATTTCTGTTTCCATTTGGACCCCTATCACGTTCAACTGGCTGTCACTAATATACAATCGGCTTCAGCAGACCAAATACTCTTGCAGTGTACTACATTGACTAGTTTATTTTGTTATTGCCCATAGTTTAAGTTAGTCAGGCTTAGGAGTTTTTTACCAGCCTCTCGTATATTCGCATGACGGCCATGTGAAATTGTAAACCCTCAACTTCAACTGATACTTTGTCAGCTTTTGATCCATGTGTACAAACATTCAAAATAAACTGTATTTAATGTTTGGTTGCTTGTGTATTCTATTTGTGTACCAGTTTGTTTCGTTATTAATTGAAGTCAAGTTTGTGTGGTTTCCTACTATGGTATTTTGAACATGCTAAATTTAGCAAAGTCAGTAAGGTTTAAATGAACACATTTTACATAGGATTGCATGAGAACTCCGTGTGATGAACAGGCTAAAACATGCTTCAGTATATACGCATTCAATAGGAGAGGTCTAAATGCTGGCGCACATATCCTGATTTTGAATTGTATCATGTTCGGAAAATACAATTTGCCAGCTGGATCATAGATTAAACGACAATAATCAAGCGTCTATCTGAGTAATATGTGTCGAGTGTGTTGCACTCAGGATTATTCCAGCTGTATGACAGCGGCCTATTATAAACGTCCCTGGACCAGACAATTCAGTGATTGTTACTATGAGCAACGTTCTCCGCCGTCGGGGTATGCTGGAACGCCATCAATTAAGTCGCCAAGTCTGATCATGGGATTCACTGAGACGCCTTTTACGACCATCAAGGTCGCAAGAGACCTATTCTCTCTCGGATTTTCGTCACGATATGGCTGAAATTTTGTCGATGTGACGTTACATTTCACTCACTCACTCACTATTTCGGATTAGACATGTGTTCCAAATGTTGTCGCAATGCTGTGTTTGGGACACATTCTACCCAGGGTCTCTGATATTTAAAAACAGCTCTAGAAGAAGAGGCTCTGTTAGGGAACTGCTTGATTTTTCTTAAGAGTTAGGTGGTCAGACTCGGTTACATTGTTGACTGCTTTTCATTGTATACCCATTGCATTGAGTGAACATCATTAGACACTAACTGTTAACATCACAAAGATCATCAAAGAATGTAAAAATACCAATTTGTATGAGCTAGGAAGAAATTAAATTATTAAACTATTTTAGTTTTCAATGAAACTGTACAAATTGCAGCAACATGTGCTTACCATATATTAACGTCAATTAAACTGACTACATCAACTTCAGCCACTTTAGCTTATTCTGTTGACCAATTCTTTTGTCAACATGTCTTTAGCTCTCCCGAGAACCCGATTCACAGTGACATACAACAGACATAATTCTAATTTGAAAACTGAAAAATATACTTGAAAAACACCAGTGGCAAGTTTCACTTTTTAACTTTGAAAACAGTTCGACTGCAGTTATGCTTGGAACCTATTTATTATATGCATTAAAATACAAATATAGTACAACTGATTCATACCTCGTCATTAATACCCCAGCTCTATGACGGCGGCGTGTAAGTAACCCGGTACGAAAATGAGTGAGTGAGTATGGTTTTACGCCGCTTTTAGCAATATTCCAGCAATTTTACGGCTGGGGACACCAGAAATGGGCTTCACTCATTGTACCCACGTCGGGAATCGAACCCGGGTCCTCGGCGTGACGAGCGAATGCTTTAACCACTAGGCTACCCGACCGCCCCGGTAAGAAAATGAGAAACACCATAGTGACATATTATAAGGAACGGTCTACTTTTACGATCAACCAGACATGAAGGATTTCCACTTTACTGTATGTAACGGTGATTTTGTACGTGCCCTTCCCCAAGAAGCGGGAGTAAAATTCCTCATAATAACACATTGGACTGGTCGATATTCAGTTTGAATACCAAAGATACCTTTAAACTTAGAAATATATTTTCACGTTCACCAGCTGCAAAAAGGGACAAAGTTTCAAATACATTCAAACATTTAGACATATAACAAAATAATGTTTACACTTAAAGATACACAATAATGAAACATTTCTACATCCCAATACACTTATACATGACAAGACACTAAAGCATAGTGAAAAAATTGTAAACTTCGCAGTTTACATTGATACTTAAAAGTATTTGTGTAAATCTGTTACAGTTACACTACATCGCTATTCAGCAATATACCGTATTCGACGTAATAAGCGCCCTGCTCTAATAAGTGCCCACGGCGATATTTGCCA